ATACAATGAAGTACAATTGGTACCTATTTACTAGCTCCTGCATTACAGATACCTGGACAATCGTGTTTTCGTGTCCTTAGCAAATGGCGATATTTGTGTATATCTCAGAGATGGTGGTAAGATTTAAATATATAAAATTTAAATAATATAGTAAAACTGATTTGCCTTTCAGCATCTTCTTGGAATACATGCTCATCACATTGTCTCTCAATTGGTACAGTTTCGAGTCCAGTGACTAAACTGCTTAACGTTAATGGCAAGCTGTGGTGCTCCATACAGGGGATTATAAAAGTTTTAGATACTGAATCCTTTTCGGTATGAAACATAAAACTTTTTATTTGAAAAACAGCCTGGACGGCTTGGTAATGTTTTAATATTGCAGGTCGTTAATCAAATACAAATTTCTTCGGACTCAAAACCAATTACAAACATGACAGTTGCAAATTCTTTTGTGTGGATATCAATACAAAATTCAGCTTATATCAAGTGTTTTCATTCCAATACGTAAGTGGTATTATGAACTGTCTTGACCTCTAAATTATATACTCACTGTTTATTTAATTCAATAGCCACCAACTAATTACAGAAGTAAATCTTGCTCCTGCAGTTAATAAAATGTTGTCAAATTGTGACGAAATAATTAGGCAACATAAAGCCGCTTGCCTTCGCGTGACTTCCCTTCTCTGCTGCAAAGATCTCATTTGGATAGGAACCAGTGCAGGAGTTTTGTTAACAATACCAGCCCAGGGTTATGAAAAAGGTGCACACAATATAGTACCCACAGGCATACCGCACGGCCATACAGGGCATGTGCGATTCCTAACCTTTGTAGAGACACCGTCTCATGGGCTAGAAGGTAACTCGCAAATAATACCGCCTGCGACATCACGTGAAGCAGGAAGCGGCACAAGCGATGAGTACACTAAACCAGGGTGAGCCATGATTAGATATTATATTTATTATTTATATTTACAAGTTTTTATAAATTGTTTCTTGGCTGACAGTTCAACGAAGAACTCTAAGAAAAAATTGGAAACAAAAAATATACTTATTATATCTGGTGGTGATGGCTACGAAGACTTTCGCAATTCGGGTGCCAACTCACTAAGTGAAATTGCAGGTCGCGAGGACAGCACCAATCATTTATTAATATGGCAAATTTGAAGCAGAAGACGTAAAAATCGCTGGCGGTTATTGCTTTCGAGATGGAAAAACAACAACTGAGGTCGTCTTTAAATGTCCTTAATCTTTAAGCAATTGAAAAACTCAGAATTAAAAAGTAGACTGCGGCGATTTTTATTGTACTATAAACTATGCTGACAAACAAAAGTTGGCAGACCAGTGGAACAGTAACCACTAGTGTGTGTATTTGTATGTAAATTTTACAAGAATTGCATTGCTTATGGTATATAATTATATATATTTAACTAAATAGGTAGCAATGTATATAATTTTTGTATTGATAGAAGACTATATTAAAAAAAGAATTATGAGTGCCAAATATACACATTAATTGCGCCAAACATTCGGAATGAATTATTAAATATGTCAAATAATAAACCTATAGCTAGTTTCAATGACGTTTTATTCCATGCCCAATAAGCATAACTACAAACGCATATAAAAACAATATTTTTATAAAATATAAGAAATATGCAGACTAAATTATTTCCTATATTTATTATACACATATATATTATGTATGTATCTATATATATTTATATCTTAAATACCAATATTAAAATGTAAATATATATATATACAAAATTATAATACAATAAAAAATATCGCCCTTAAAATATATTAAAGGAAAAACGTTATCGAATTTATTCTAAAAGTAATCATTGAGTTCACATACATTCATTCTTTTAATAAATGAGCGAAAAAGAAAGTGAAAAAGTTTGTAAAAAACATAATGTTAACATTAAGTAAATTTCGATTTATTCAACTAGGTAACTTAATGGCGTTTTCAAAATGCAATGTAATGCAACTTTCATGCAAGTGAATTGAATTTCAAAAACTGACAACCCATACATACCAAGTGATATTCAAATGTTTGGGAATGTATCAACATGTGTGTATATTTTTCGAAATAACATATTACTAAGCTTGACTATTGCTAGCGATGCTTGCAGTATTAGGCATGATTGGAACCTTTCTCTTCAATACAAACAAATAATTAACTTACGGTCAAAAAAGTGTTGTTCTTTATTCTCACACGCATTGCCTAACAAGTGAGCTCACGCCATCTGTCTATATTTTTGTTAAAAAATGGTATCAAATTGTACTAGTGTTTGTGTATCTCTTAATGTAGTTAAACCATAGTATACATTTTGATTTAAAACTTTTTTAAATTAAATTAAATTAACAAACTGTTTTAAGAAAATTTATATAAAATAATTGTAACTTGCTAACTACAATAGACTTTTTACTTTAATTTTAATTTATTTTAATGGCATCTGACAATTGTTATCCTACCTCTATAAATACCAGCAGGTGTTAGAATAGAAATCGATACACTTATACCAGAATAAATCTGAAACAGATCTGTAATAATAGATTGTGAAACAATAACTTCCCTATACAAATTGCAAAGTAAGATTTAACAATACAAAAATTTAAATGTATAAATATTAATGTGTACGTTACCTGTTAAATAAACCAAATTTTCAAACTGCAGTTAAATATATAAACTTCTGTCAACTTTTCTACAGGCTCTCTATGTAGTGGCACCATTAATCCCATATTTAATGTATTCTTAAATTATACCATCCTAGGAGAAGTTGTGTTTCCCCAACTTTGACCGAACTATTTTTTTTCCCTTTCAGTTATACATGCATATCCATGGAAAGTTTCAATCTACTACCTTGAAGTCTACGTCTAAGTTATTTATTATATGTTTATTTGAAAATGAGTTTTAAGTGCAACAAAAACAATTAGAATCAAAATTGATATCCTTAAGCGCATTTGTCTATTCCACTTTTGATCTATCTGTGTTTTCTTTTACGTGTTAATCTTTAAAGCAATACAATTTAGCGAAATGATATTTGAATGCAGGATGTTTCTCCCTCGGAAACATTAAAATATAAATCACATTTCTCTTAGTATTGCGAGGACACAAGTAAATAGTAAATACAATATTTGTTTATTCGTTATTTGCAGGTTATTATTTACATAAAAGTTTAACCACCATTGACCTTTACAGGTCAACTTTATATTAGCATTTCATTAAAGAGGTCATTTAACGTTTGACATTTCGGGAAAATACAAGATAACTTGGGTATCGATCATTTTGAGCAAACGCTATATTGGTATTTAATTTTAATTGTCAACAAGTAAAATATGGCAGGAAAATTAAATTCACTATTTTGGACTTTATCATTTTTCGATTCCCGAGCCCGAGTGAATTGATTCTGGGCTATTTTTAAAATTTACGAACTCAATGTCAATTGTGATAAAGCTTGTAGCTTATAAATTTGGTGAATACATTGACAAACTAATTTGTTATACACAAATTTTGATTTTTCCTACTTTAGATATGCCTTATGACACAGTGATTTGATCCGACCAACCCCAACATATGTACTGACTGATGTCTGTAAAGCAGTAATTGAATTTACTACAGTAATATTCAAAAATTAAGCTATCGGAAATTGCTCCTTTGAATTAAATTTCATTTTGTTGTTGTAATAGTATATATTTACAATCTTGTGCGAGCGTCGGAAATTTCCCATATGCAAGCTAAGTATATTTATTCACACATTTCTTAATTCTCCCTAGGGACAAATCATTAGTAGAGCGTAAAAATAGTTATGTTGTCATAATGTGACTCATAATATGAAAATAGTCAGGCTCTGTGGTAATAATTTGTTGTATCCTGTGACGCTTTGCAATAAAATAAATTATAACATGTAGGTGCGTCCATACAAAGTAGAAATTATTCAACTACCTAACTAACTAACCAATGAATGTAAATATTAACAATATGCTTTAAGGTTTCTCTTCATTATTTAATTGGTTTTTGTTTTGTATGCGTATCTCTAAATAAATTAGAATTGTTTGTTGGGGGTTTTAAGAAAATTAGCCGATAATGTTAAGCAAATAATTATATATAACAAGCAGAAAGAGTCATCTCCCATAAGCATAAACAGCCAATTCAAGATTGCCTTAGTTTTGCTCCGTTGTAGAAATGAAATGCCATTAGAGTTGGGCTACATATATACATTTTAGCACTTTTGTAGTATAAAATCGGGTCAGATGTCATTCGCATACTACATTTATAATCATGTTAGACTGTACGATGATTTGTTCAAATTACGAGCATACATTTTACTTTATTAGTGTACTTTGTTTGCTTAATATATTAGCTACAATTTAAACGAACGTAAATACTTATATATCAAAGCGTAAAGAAGGAGTCATCTTCGATAAGCGTAAACAGCCAGAGATCGTTTGAGTTTTGCCGAGATGTAAAAATTAAATGCCTATAGAGATGCTTAATACACTTTAGCACTTTTGTTGCATATATAAGCAGATACGTAAGATTTTATTTGTATCTTAAATTTATAAATATGGTATGCTTAAATGTTGGAATACATTGTTGTTAATAATTTTATTTGCTTAATATAGTAGCTGCAATTAAAATAAAAGTAGCCAAATTTATTCCAGACATTGCATCATAAAAAATGCGCATGCGCGTAAATATAACATACATACCTTTCGTTAATTCCTTTAACCTACGTTCCACAGTATGTTTTCCACTATTGGCGACATTACAGAAATTTAAGTTAATCTATTTGTTCAATGTTTAGTTTTCTATTTCCTACAAAACTATAGTTTTTATTACAATCTTAACTGTACACTATAGAGCATACTATTAAACTGCATTCTAAAAGATTTTACTATAAACGTATTTATGTGTACATAAACATTTTAAGGCACACATACAAATATTGTTTTAAAATACAACGTATTTTTCGTTATAGCGAAGCTTTGAAAAGTAAATACGAGTCTTCAATCGCGATAGAAGGATTAACACCAGGCTACACTGTACTGTATAATCTAAAATAGGCAATACACATATATAGCACATATATATAAACGGGTCCCACATATTGGAAACTGTTGCGGTATGCCGCTTACAAAGCAAATACAATTTCCCCCACATACGCACACTGGGAGACGTGAAGAACACTCGTGGCATGTATCTTTCGTGTTCAAAGGCACACTTACAGATACATATATTTTCTCTGTTGTGTTACGGTTGTCAAAGCAGACGGCAGTTTTGGAAGAGCTCTGAACCGATGCAGTCGCGTCTATAATTTCGGCTAAGTCGATGTGGTATTTAAAAAATCGTTAGCTAAACACATCGAGTTGATGAAATATTTACTTAATGGAAACTTTTAATAATAATTATAATAAGCCCTGTGAAGTAAAATAATACCAACTTTGCTCTGAAAAGCACCAAAATAAAGACGCTGCATTCAAAAGTTAAATATTTATAAAAACTTACCAATGACCTATACAGGCAATGTTCAAATTACAAAATGTGAAATATAATTTAGAATGATATCGAGTTGACAAGACTCATGAAACGGATGCGTAAAAATTAAAATGTACCAAATGAGAAATTTCGTAAATACCTGGGTGTATAAGTTATCCTATATTAACTCTTTATACATCAAGCATAGCATTACCATCGTCTCGAGAACATTTAGTTAAATGTCTGACTGGGGTAAAACTATTGCTACTGCAATGTTAGTGCATTGAACATATACATATGCACATACATATGGGAAAATGCTGATAATAATAATGGACAAAAGCCATTATAATTAACACAGTAAAAATAACATAAGTGAAAATATCCAACAAGAAATGTCTAATAAATAATAAACGTTACAATTTGCTAAGGTAATGCTTTCATAATTATAACTTATAGGTTAACAAAATTTTTAGACTTTAAGCTAATTTTCACTGACTTCAAGTCTCCTTGAATGGTTGATTAAACTCGAATAATATGTGTGGAAGAAGCTTCTAGCCAATATGAATACCTAACAAATTATATTCGAACTTGTCAGAAATTGACAAAATTTTACAACATTTTCAAAACAAAAATTACAAATTTATAAGTAGAGTAAAAACGCATTTAACAATATCATTTTATCCGCCAAATAAAACTCATATTGTAGAAATAAAAACCGATGTTCCACCAGCTGTTGTAGAAGCTATTATTGACAGCTGGCCATTTTAATAGCATTTTAGCGCTCAGATTCAACCCAAATAAATTGCCTTCTTATTTTTGCAACTATTTTTTTATAAGTATGTATATACGTGTACAGACAATCAATTTTGATACACATAAGTATTTATACATAAATGAAAATGTATATATGTATCGTTCTTTTTCGCTGGAATTACGTGTTTGCATAAAAATATCCATTAGAAGCTTATAATGTAATAAATGTTTTTTTTTTGAATTAGGTAATAAGGGAATGACGCCAGCTTCACTCTGCCCTTTAAAGTAAAATAGCAGAAAAAGTTGTAGATATGTATACAACAAAAACGAAAGGGAAAATTTTCCTAACTAGTACATGGCCATATGCACACATATATACATGTCGTACAATTTATGGGTTATAGTTTTAAATTTACTTTCTAAGTGGTGTGACTATTCTTTTGAAAATCTTTATATATTGATCGACTTGAGACAATCGATTTTGTATTCAAAGCATATTTTGAAAATTGTCGTTCGTGCGTATGATTAAATTTGAAACCTTCATGGGACCTTCATGCGTATCGAACAACAGAAATTACCAGTTGGTACCATTCTATTTTATACACGATTTATCTTCCATAATAACCAAATTTATATAAAGCAAACAAAATATAAAGAAGAAATACGCAGTATGCATATGTGTAAAAATGAGGGTTTATAAATAATTGCATTAGGAAATCGCTTGATTTGTTATCATATGTGCGATAAGAAACTCTATGACAATGAATACTTTGTGGCATATGTGTGTACCTACATATATAGGTTTTATTCAAGAGTTATAGTGATAGATTTAAGTTTAAAAACTCTTTAAACAAAGCAGAGTAAAGAAAAAAGTATATGGGCGTAGGTAATACAATGTAAAATTCGCTAAAGACATTAACGCTTACATAAGGTTCTCTCTTTATATACTTATGAACGCCACTTTGTCTATATCACTTTTGGTTTTAATTTGCTTATCACACACCTATGTGTACATATGTATGCACCTATATACGCAATAGCAATCTGCGACAGCCACGGCATTTGGTAAACGCTATCAGACGAAAAATAAATAATACTTAATTCCACATTATTGTTATTGGCAGCGTCGAAAACTGTCGGTTTAAGGCAGACCGGGTTCTTTTTCATTATTCCATCAGTTTACTATTATTGGTCGGTTACACCCCAGGGGCCCCCGAAAACTCATGCATTGTACATATTCCCTAAAAAAGAGTCGGAAATTCCCTTTATACGTTATTTAAATTAATAGCCAAACGCCTCTTTTAATGGTGTTTTTGGCTGTGTTCATTAATCGTTTTCACTTTGTTTGTCGTTCGAAAAAAGTTTACTGTATAATTTAGATTTTATGTCAATGTAACTTATTATAACTCTGTACTGAAAACGTTATAACGATCGTTTATAAATTGTTGTTCTACTAGTAGTAAGGTGTAGTCGCAAGGTATAATGAAATTGTAAAACAGGTTCACTAATTGAAAATGAAATGAATGAAAAATGAAAAAAATACATGTGCCCATAATAGAACTTATTCTTTTTTTTTATCATCGTAGGGCATCGTTTGAAGATAAATATATTTTAATATAACCAACATGAAAAATGATGACGCTAAAGTATTCCAATTTCAATGGCAACTTGAAGTTATCGGGTATAAAAATCTACAAAATCTCCCAATGACTGTACAGCTTGAACTATGTCAATTCAACAATAATACATACTGTTGACTCTGATACAGCATATATGGCTCTGCATTCACAGTTGGAATATCAAAACGTTTTACTTCCACCACTGATGTATGTGGCCACTACATTCCTTGCCACAAGCGGCGTTATTGGATTGCAGCAAAACGTTTCTATTGGTTACGATAACTTTCTAGAAACATGGACTATTGGCAATCACAGTTTGTCACCAACGTCATATACGTCTGGCATCCCTTCGGTGCAGTCAAAACTAAATGACTCAGGAAATTTCGGAGATTCAGTGCCTACCCTAACATTTTTCAATTACTACAATGAATCTACAGCGACGGCCGAATGGGCTCACTTCTACGATCTCGTTCTTTCATGGCAGGGCATTTGCTTGATTGCTGTGTTCTGCACGTTTATCATTGTCACCGTTATTGGCAACACACTCATTATATTAGCTGTTCTGACCACTCGAAGACTTCGAACGGTTACAAACTGTTTTGTTATGAGTTTAGCAATAGCTGATTTACTTGTAGGGATTTTCGTTATGCCACCAGCAGTAGCTGTACATCTAATTGGTAAGCAATTCCACCAATCGAGTATAAATATACACATACACATGCATTTATTTAAACGAAGATTAAACCGCATTTTTGTCGTATAAAAGATCCATTTAAACTACAGTATTTTCTAAGCTCATTCCGTTGCTTTTTTCAGGTTCCTGGCAACTCGGCTGGGTACTCTGCGACATTTGGATATCTTTTGATGTCTTGCTGTGTACAGCATCTATTTTGAGTTTGTGTGCCATCAGTGTTGATAGGTATTCCAGTTTAAAATAGCACGGCTAACTTGTTAACAAAAAAATTTTACTTTTTAGATACCTTGCTGTTACACAGCCACTTACTTATTCTCGGAAACGACGTTCCAAGCGCCTCGCGCTTTTAATGATTCTTATTGTTTGGATCTTGGCATTGGCAATTACTTGTCCGCCCATGTTAGGATGGTAAGAAAATAACACCTATATAACTAAAAGAAAATAGTGAATGGATAAATATTAAGACATGTATGTATACTAACAGCTACGAAATGTTATGTTCGAAATGTTAGACTATACATATTCATACATATTCATGGACGACGATTAACGCACGCAAGCTATTTACTTTTCATAAATTTATTGTTTATCAAAATGTACCCAGCATTATTAATATTCAATAATTCGTTAAATATTCATAACTTCGTATGTAATATTCATAACTTTTTACATAGGTATGAACCTGGACGCCGAGACCTAAGAGAGTGTCGTTACAACCAAAATGAAGGCTATGTAATTTTTTCAGCGATGGGTTCATTTTTTATACCAATGGCTGTTATGATTTATGTTTATGCCAAGATTTCTTGTGTGATTGCAAAAAGACACGATAATATGACTGAAATTAATGTTCATAACAAGGTAAGCATTAAACGGAACATATCAAAAAATGTATAAGGAGTAGAATTCATTAAAGTAATAATAATAATAATAATAATAATAAAAATAATAATAATAATAATAATAATAATAATAATAATAATAATAATAATAATAATAATAATAATAATAATAATAATAATAATAATAATAATAATAATAATAATAATAATAATAATAATAATAATAATAATAATAATAATAATAATAATAATAATAATAATAATAATAATAATAATAATTATTATTATTATTATTATTATTATAATAATAATAATAATAATAATAATAATTATTATTATTATTATAATAATAATAATAGTCATACTAATAATAATATTTTTATAGGTAAATAATATGTATATGTTTACACCAATGCCGTAAATTATCCGTGAGATATACAAAATGTATTATAAGATTACGTTTTGGTATTTATGATACCAAGCAAAACGCGACTATTTTTAAAATTTATATTTCATACACAGAAATTTAAACGGTACACCGCCGCCGACGTTGAAAATGAGTTCTCTGAACAAGAACATAGTACGGGCTACAAAAGCAAACAGGCTACTGCGCAAACATTCTTCAACCAAACAATTTCCAAGGATCTACATGAAATCGTACTTAGCGATAACGACAATCTTGGAGTACCAACATCAGGTGGAATTCATGGTGAAAATTGCCAGACCTTGTTGGCTCTGCCATCAACCCATAATGCTAGTGGAAAAAACAGTTGCTATGAATTAACTCGACCATCTTCATTGTCTCTGAAACGGACGTCTACCGCTTCTACGACTATAACCACAATGGCAAGCGCTGTAGGTCCCAGCAGCAGTTTATTAGATGCGCCATGGCAAGCCCAGCCACAACAACAACCGCACACTCACAGCTTTCGGCATTCGCATCTAAGTGTGGGTGGTGGAGACAGACTGCGTGGCCACCATAATCATCCGTCTGCAGGGTCAGGAACGGCTGATGTTTCCACCACTACTTCAACCAATATTAAATCTCTGTCGAACCGCATTACATCCCTTAAAAAGGAAAACAAAACAACCCAGACACTAAGCATTGTCGTTGGTGGGTTTATCGCCTGCTGGCTCCCGTTTTTTGTCTACTATCTTATAACACCGTTTCTGGCCGAGCACCAAGTCAGTAGCACTTTGGCCAAGGCTCTTACTTGGCTCGGTTGGTTCAACAGCGCTATCAATCCTTTTATCTACGCATTTTATAGTGTCGACTTTCGTGCCGCCTTTTGGCGTTTAACCTGTAAACGATTTTTTAGTGACGACCAAAAGCCCCAATTTCCCACAAACACAATGTCTATTAGGCGATAGTCGTGGCGTGTCGCCCCCTTACATTCCTCCCGTACAACCACAGAAATGATGATATAAGGGATAGGGCTTGGCGACATGGCAACATTTCCTAAGCTACTACCGATATTGCTTTTAGATTATACAACTAGAAATTGCTATAGACACAAAATATCTAAATATATATTATATATTTATAGACCCTAACGTGCTTGATATGGTTTGTTGAAGTTTTATTTAAAGAATATTATTTATATATTTCTACGATGCTATGTGAAAAAAGTATTAGCCAGCTTTCATTTAACATTAGCATGTAGACATAGACACATATGCATGTTTCACTCTAAAAATGAGCATACGAATAAGCACGTGTTGCAACTGTGCCTACGTTGCTAATCAACAATACAAACCAAATTTTAGACAAAGGTCACTATTAATATTTTTGGTTTATATATACATAGTATATACAAAAACTGAATATATGTATATATTGTTAAATAGGAATATCTATACACATTTTGATATCTTACCATCCTTCTAATGAGATTTTCTTCAAAACAACAACAACTTCCATAAGAAACATAGTAGTATTGTTCTTTGTATATATAACAGTTGAAAATAAATATATACACGCACTACATTTAAATTGTGATTTAGCCCTAATTAAACCTAATTACATTTAAAATAAAGATTTTGTGACATTTCTTAGATCCATTTTGGGTGGCATCGTAAATAAAATGCCGAAAAGAAAATAGAAATTGCAGTCAATTGTGAATAAGTAGAAGTAATCTTAGCAACTATCTATATATATATATTCTTAGTAAAAATCAAATATGTACATTTACAGTATATCAAACCAATTTATATATGCAAATGCTTAGGAAATCCAAATTTAAAATTCCTGCTCACCGACAGCATAATAGCATTTTCATAATATTTCTTATAAAATACCTAGTGACATACTAAACGGTGACCAGCGCGTAGCCAAGGCGTAATGGCTACAAATCGGACGAAACTCAAAATTTCGCCTTTACAACTTACATTTATCATCAAAAAAGGCCGAATTTTTATTAAAATCCTTTAAAATGATTTTGAAGCCGATCGGACGGTCAACCAAAAACTTTCATACAAACATTTTCCGCTAATTTACCTCTATTACGGGTGGAATTCGCAAAATCGCCGAACCACGTCTCCATTGAGTTTTTTTCATAAACATCTTTGGAAATGAAATTAATCTCATCACTTCACTCACCAAATCTTTGACCCTCATTCATAAACACCCCCTAATTAAGTTGTCTTAGCGTGCACCTCCATCACATAAGGTAACTACAGTGGAAACTTCAGCTACTTAGCTCTTACGGTTTGGGCTGTGCGTTGATCACCAATCAGTCAGTCAGGACAAACTGTTTATATATAGTGATAAATTTTAATTTGTGTTTTACAATGAAGTAAGAATTTAGTGATGCTCTTGTCTAGCGCTGCGTCTAAGGTAGAAGTTAGTATTTGTTCAGAGATTTGTACACTGTGAAAGTGATGGTATATATATTATCGTTTTTTCGTTAACAACTTTATTTTTCCTTATATAATTCTAAGGCCAAGATTGAACGGTTACAAAAGTAATATCTCAATTTTAAATTGAACAAAATATTTTTTAACTTATTTATGTTGGCTAGAATATTAGTTTGACCCTTTTTAGTTTTCCTTAAGATTGGTTTTTATAAATTATATATAACACATGCATATACGAGCAGGCTTACGTGTTTATGGTGACCACCTTTTCTTTTGTGGACTTAAAAAGTTAAGTTATTTAAGAAATGCACAACGCATAAAAAGGGTTTTTTCAACTTACAAATGGATACTTCTAATCAAGACGGCTAGTTTTATTAGAATGCCTCTAGAGGTATTTACAAGTCTTGAGTAATAGATCAACTTTTTAACCAAAAATGTACATATTTTTTTTTAAGGGCCAGAAATGCTTCCGTTAGCCTATTTGAATAATTAAACTTATATGTTCTCCAATCTGGGTATGAAAAATCTTGGAGCCGGGCACCATTGAATAACCCACTCTTAATTTTAAAGGGAACAGTGATATATTTTTTGTATTCTATAAAATAATCAAATTGCGTAATTTAATTTCTGTATGTCGTATGCTTTCGGAGATATCCTATTTTGAAGAAGTCAGAAGCAAATAACAAAATTGAATATACTTAATTTTCGAATGGTAACTTAGCCCTATATCTGTCTTATCTGAGGGTAGAGCATGTACAAGCTCTGGGCTCATTATCAAATGGATAATCCATCTCAATTAAATGCATCTACGTTAATAAGTAAATATAAGTAAATAAATTAGCATTTAAATAAATATATTTATTTTATACGTGCTCTTACCTATGTTTTAATTTAAATAAAAATGATGGACTTTGTAAGCAATTAATATAGACGCAAATATGTATGATTTTATTGTGGGACTTAATGCTTTAGGTGCGAAACAGGTTCATACGATTTCGAGCCAGTTTCTGCTTGCAGATTCGCCGAAATGTTAAACGCCAAAACGCAGCTCGAAAATCAGGATTAAAGGCATAAATAAATGGATTAATGGCACAGTTTAGCCAGCCAACCCATGTAAAAAATGACATAAGACTTTCGAGTTTTTTTAACTGCGGCAGAAAGGGTATCAACAAATAGTAAGCAAAAAATGGCGTCCAGCAAGCAATCAGACCTCCCATAACAATGGTAAGGGTTTTAGTCGTTTTGGTATTTTTGATTTTTGTTGATACTCGCATTGGAATGCGATGACTTGCTAACTGTCTTTGAAACTGATGTAATGTTGTTGACGACCTGTTGGGCCCGTTATTATTTATCGTTTCTAAAGATGTGCCAGCCAGACATTGATTTTCTTTGTAATACAGTGCTGGTATAGACAAAGCGGACGCACATTTTGCATGATATCTACAATTGTTTGACGACATTCGTGAAAATTCTATAAGTTCATAGAATGTCGGTTGATGTTTGAGTTTCATTCTTTTATCGCCCAATTTAGTGTCCTGGCATTTACCGCATCTAACGTGGTTGGTGCTTAGTATGGGATTTACATGGGTACTTATTACACTGCAACGAGCTTCACAACATGGTAAACATTTGTGCGGGTTACAACGATAATGTTCAGATTCCAGGATAAAGTTGTCGCCGTCTAAATCATGATCAGCCGTGCGTTCCGATTTCTGGCCGAAAAATGAATTATATAACTATATAATGATATAAATATATTTTTGGAATACTTACTGCATCGCGTACAATCCGCTGTCGTCGTGATGTCAGAACATAACCAATCCTAACGTAAACGTACAACATGACAGTGAGGGGGATAAAAAACGAACCCATTGCTGAGTAAACGACATATCCTTTATTCTGATTGTACCGACAGTCAACAAAGTCTTTTTGATGACGGTTCCTACCCGGTTCATACCTGAATAAGTAAAATAGAGAATGATAGATAGTTTGTTATTAGATAAATACTACATTTTGTATGAGATGCACATTATTTTCAAAATGTTTCTTAAATATTTTTCCTAATTTAAAACTCACAAAACTAAATATGAGAAATATTATCCTTAAGAGTGCCCATACGTCACTATGTTTATATGAGCATATGAGCATACTTACCAGCCAAGCATGGGGGGACAAGTGATTACAAAGGCCAGTAACCAAACTCCAAGAATCATTAAGAATGCCAATCGTTTGCAACGCCATTTTTTCGAATATGTCAACGGTTGTGTCACTGCGAGATACCTAAGTACAAAGCAATAAAAACAGAGTAAATGAAAACAAAAACCAAGCGGCATATTGTGTATTAAGCTGTTAACAAACGTCCCTAGCAAACAGCGAAGCATGGCGTCAGCTTGGAAATGCCATTTAAATGTAATTGAAACTTCCAACAAAAGAAGCGAGCACTACGTACCGCCCACATTATTACCATCGGGCTCTCTATACTATTTCATTCTTTGCCCACGCCCTGTTACCTTTAAACGGCATGCTCAGAATGGGTCAATAAAACATTTTTTGCAGAGTATTTTCACCTTTTTATACGTCCATGACGTCATAACAATGAATTACCTTTTTTATAACAACGAATTAACGCACGACATAAGGATTTTATTAGCTAAGGCAGGTATACGAGTTTTCACATATATTAGTCATGAACATTAATACTCCTACCAAAGGGTGCATGTACTCGAACATACATCTATGAGTATAATTTATTCGCGACATACAGAGTGGGGATAAGGAACTGTTATGCTATTTGTACTGCTCAAGATATCGAATTTATAAATATTATCAATTATTTAATACGAACCTGTCTAAGCTAATGGCACATAAACTAAGAATAGACGCCGTGCATAGCAATATATCGAAGGAGATCCAAAACTCGCAGAGCAGCCAGCCAAGTTTCCATGAACCTGCATAAAGAATACATATAGTATATTAAAAATAAAAAAGACTTCACAAAATAAAAACTATCTTTGACATCCAGTATAAGAATTTAATTATTTATTCAGTAAACTGATGATTTAAGTACGCATTTAGTAAAAAATTAAATATAAATGGTTTACACAATGTACTCCTTAATTCGATGTTTTCACGACAATCAACGTGCAGAAATTTATTATGTTTACCCCAGGCCTTACCAGCTTAAAGTATGTAAAACCATGTTATGTTTGTAAAGCTTGAATGGAAATTGTTACTCCCAATTCACAAAAGGGCTGGAAGGCAAAGTTTTTGTTTTGTTTTACTTTAACCGAATTCGTTTGGCGTCTAAAACAACTTGCGCCTACCCATACTATGTACTACATCTTTACACTTTAAGGGATTGTACAGCTCTTCATTTTTTTAATTTGATTATTTGTTTGTAAAAGGTTGCCCTTAAAAGGAGAAAGTTTTAATGCCTGGCACTTTAGGAATCATAAAAGCATGTAATTAAATTTTGAGGTACCCTTGGCTACTGACTATTTTTTACCGTAGCGTAAGTTGTTAAAATAATTATTTTCGTTAGTAAACACAAATAATTTTGATAAAAACTCATGTGCAATGTACAATGGGTCACCAAATAAAAAAAGTTCATACAGTATCCGCACATACTGAAATTGTTATGCATGAAATTATCACAAAGTGCAAGTAAGACCTTGGCAAAAATGCGCACACCTAATTTGATATTTTATAAGGTCTCTCGTCACAACAGATGGAAAAACCTACATCCAGAATTCTCTCATATATAAGTAGCGGTTTTTTGCCTTTAACTTAAAATAACACAGCAAAAATATTACAATATTTTAGGTAAGAGTATTCAGTTATTTTTTAATATAAATACATACCAATGACGTGCAAGGCTACTGCCGGTGGCATAACGAAAATGCCCACAAGTAAATCAGCAACCGCCAAACTCATCACAAAGCAGTTTGTAACGGTACGCAGTCTTCTGGTGGTTAAAACAGCTAATATAACAAGCATATTTCCAATTACAGTCACCAATATCAGTAGTAAGAAAATAGCCACAGCTATAGACTTTGGCCAGGCCATACTTTTCAATGATGAGTTCATTATTTATAAAAAATCATTAGAAACTCAGTTGATAGACATTTTAGATACAAATATCTCAAAATTTGTTTATGTTGTATATTTCGCGCATGGTTATTACGATTATAAATATGGTTGGCAAACTATCATCTGTACTGATAACCTAAATAAAAAAATTGATAAAAGATTATCATAGAATTAATAGAGATAAAGAGCAACTTACATATATACATACATATGTAAAACCCACATGTTCCATCTATGCATTTCGACCAGGCTTGCCGCAGATTTTAATCCCTTATAACTTTGTGATTCGAAGATGACATGAAAATATATAACATAAAGGAGTACTCAGTTCATAACTGTCCTACCATTCTATACTAAGCATACATGTGTATACGAAAACCCATGCTAGCACACCAACCAATCTGATTCTTTTACCCACGAAAAATAAGTTTTAAAAACCTTCTTGCTTTATTTTCAGCAATTGATAGCGTCAAAAAATATTGTTTATTTGGACAGACAACCAGACGGACGAAAAGCAGAAAGGACATTCCACAAAAAGAACATTCTCCCTATGACTTTTAAACAGATGATATAAACTTACTTATGTTATTCTGTATTTAACCTTTATTCAACAACGGTAAATCCATAGCTTATAAGTTTCTAAGAAATATTCATATTCAAATTGTTAGATTGACACACCTGTTAAACAAATTTGCAATACAAACAAACTTACAAAGTTGTCTATATTTACAATTGAAAAATGTTGTATGTACTAACCATTACTATTCTTATAACTAATTATTTAATATATTTTTTAACCCGCTATTATTGGATGATTCACATGTATATCTATGAGCTAGTTGCATTAATATTAATTAAATATATTTTCTTTTTATAATCCTAAAGATGTTTTAAAACACTTGTATTATAAATATAGAAATTACCAAAATATTTCATTAAGAAAAAATAAACTCTAGAGATTTTTTATACACCACACAGTTGGTTTTAGCACACGTTAATTACAAACTGACAGAGCAACTTTTCGACGTTTGGATGGCGCTGGTACTGAGCGCAGCCACTGCTTCGTATGAGCATTATTTTTTTTTATTGGCTGCTAAAGTACACAAAACGCAGCGCATTGAGCCAACATGGGAGAATTCATTAGCTATTCAACATTTGCGTTTTGTTGCTTTTGGAATTTGTATTATTATTTTTAGCATTATTAAATCGGCCGAACACATTGATGTTTGTAGCTGTTTTGTTTAGGAAATATTGAAAATTTTCTGAAAATTGCTTTACATTTTATAAGTAGAAAACAGCTGAGGTGTTAACAAATAATCTTGTTTTATTCTAGTTATTTACCTGGATGAACATATATTTCTAATTATATTTGATATGGTGCGACAAAAGTTTACAGTTCGAGTCAAAAGCAACAAAAAGCAACAAAAGCAAGTAAAAGTAATTGTAAAAACACAATGGTCATGGGTTTGAAAAATTGGTGTCTCCACATGAAGCGGTGTCAACTCGTACAATTGCGTCATTGTTTCTTTATTTCTTTTTTTGGCAAACTGTCATTACCCAATCGCTAAGAGAAACCCCTATTACTTTTTGAGCAAAGAAAGAATTGGTTACAGGGAGAATAGTGAAGCTAGTAAACCAAAAGTTGTTCATGCAAGAACTTAATTTTCGACCAAACGTTTCTATCGTAGCAATATGTCATAGTGGTCCGATATTAATAGTAATTTACATAAGGATAATATTAAAGTTAATAATTACAACTAATATATACTGCCTCTAATAGAAAGACAGACTTATGCAAAGTTTCAAGATGTTAGCTTTAAAAGTGAGAAACTCTTTGCAGACAGACGGGCGGACAGAAGGAGATGGCTATATCAACTTGACTCTTGATACTGATCAATAATATTTGTACAGTAGGGGGTCCGGGATGTCTCCTTCTATGAGTTACACATTTTATGAAAAAATAAAAAAGCTTCTACAATGGTATATAAACGTCGCCCAAGGGATTTATTTTCCAAAACAATGAAAAATGTGTGAGTGTGAGATTGAGTGTCAAAGAGTGTAAGTTTTCCATATTTTCCATATTGCGCTGTGCGTTGATCAGTGAGTCATCACAAACAAGTTTATAGATGATATATATTTAATTGGAATGAAATGTTTAATAGCACAACAATTTATAGTTAATCTTATATTATATTATATATATTTAATAGTTTTAGGCACAAAAAATTATATTATAAAGAATCAACAACATTTTTTAATTTTAATTAGGACCACATTTCTTAATGGCCTGTTGTAAATTTCTCTTGCATTAATTATAAGTTTCACTTTTCATAAGATGTCAAAACAAATATATCTTCAAAATATTTTGTTGGCTGGCTCGAGGTCCGTGTTTGTTAAAACAAACAATGAAAAACAATTTTATTTTATATTTGTTTCCGATATATTTCGGTTGCACATCGGCAAACCGTCTTCAGGGCAATTATTTTACACGTCTGCGCTTTTTGACGTGGAGATTGTTAACAATCGACAATCGGCTGACCTCGAGCCAGCCAACAAAATATTTTGAAATATGGAAAGGTCGCCAGAGCCATCAACAAATATATCTTCTTGTTAAAAAAACTTGATTATTTTTTGTAAATACAAAGCAAGGGTTCTATCACTTAAACTTCATTCATAGCTCTGTGCGTTGAACCGGTAACGAATTAATAAGTTTATCAGTTAATTACAGCCCTCATACCTTTTGACGTATATCCCGTTATACACTTATAAGCGTTTATTATTAATTTAAGATAACCATAAACATGAAATCATTGACGTGCATCAATATTGACCTTTAATGGTTTCTGACCATATTAATTATGACAAATATTAAAGAATATTTGTATCTCTTGTCAAAATGTTAACAATAATTTACATTTTATTATTTAGAGAATGATTTGATTAACTCTTTTTTTACTTTATCAGCCTCTTTTTTTTTGCAACCAACCGCCAGGACGTTTCGGCTACGACTAACACAATTGTGAACAGAATATTTAGCCAACTTTCCCACTCGCTTTAGTTGGTCCTCTCTAACTTGCTATGTACCTATTGCTGTGTTTCATTAGTGCGTATAGGCGCTATATACACACACATATGTAAATATGCGTGCGGCTGTCCACTTGTTTGACAATATGAATTACTTGGGTAATTACAAAGACTTTGTCGCTCTAATTTTTGGAAAAACAAAATAAATAAAAAAAAAGAGAAGAGTGTACTCGAATAGGATCTGTCACATACATTTGGACAATTAAAGAATACCATTTTCAACGTGTTCGCCGTATAAAAAAGATGTAACAAACGAAACTTTATGGTCTAAAATTTCTATAAATTATATAGTATTCTTTGACTGACAACTAATCCAAAAAGTTTAAATTATAAAAATTAATATGTCAACCGTTAACTTTTACCTTTTATTTGGTCTGAAAAACCACTACATTGCTATTTGTGATAATAAATACTATTAGTTATTTTTAATCAATAACAAATAGGCATAAAATAGTATATAATTGACTAGTAAACCACCTAATGACGTAAATGACACATTTGTACTTACATATGTACGTTTACTTTCAAAAATAATATACTAGTAATTATGTACCATTGAGAGTGCCGGTCGATTTTAAAACCTACATAATTTAATGTAAATGGCATACTGCAGTATGTTAAAAAGAGAAACAATATTGACACTCACTAAAGCGTATGCAAATAAACTGTACTCTTGCAAATATAAACGTATATATATAATGCATATAATATCCATTTATATATATACATATATATATATATGAAATTTTCACTGTAGTTACCTTATGTGATGAAGGTGCACGTTAAAACGGGGTTTCGGGTAATTCCACCCGCAAGTGTGGAAAAATCCTCCGGCCTTAGACTCAAATTCATTTGAGGGGTGTTTCGCACTTTTTATAAAATCCATTCCCCCTTGATGGAAATGGGGGTCACGTTTGGTGGGTGACGTTTCACGCTCAAATTCATTTCCAAGAATCTTTTCCAAGCATCCTTGGTAGAAATGCGATTTAAAGATTTTTTGGTTTCCTTGTTTTTTTTTTGTTAATTTATTTTTGTTACTGCAAAGGCAAACGAGCGCGTAGCGCCAACTGGATTTGGGGCTGGTACAAGAGAGTTCAGGGTATCCCCTAGTCGGGAGCTCCCGACTAGAGTCTCTTACTTGTTTTGTTAAGCACCGTTACAAAAAATATTGCCACAATTTTAATGTATGAAAATGTAAAATAAATGTTGCCAGCTATTTTTTTTTGCAATAACATAGGTATAATGAGAGAAATAGAAAAATGAGAATTTCTTAAAAACTGGTTGGACTTTTTTTTTTACTCAAAAAGCCAAATATGTTGAAATATTACCACCTCTTTGTTATTATGCTGTGTATAAAGTACATAAATGCACTGTTGCCTTGTTTAGCAGCAATCTATTTCACCAAGGATAGTGTTTTATTGTAAAAAGCCAATTTCTTTTACATATACAAATAATTTAAATTAATTTTTTCCCGCTCAATAGTGTATTAAATTATTCAACACTAATTCCAAGCAGTGATTCGGTTCCTATTAGAGCTAGTAGCTCGATAGGCCTTTTGAATGAACACTAAGAAACTAGCTTATCGATTTGTTTAGAATTAATGCGTAAGGCTTCCTATAACATGTATCTTCATATCGATATACCGTTCATTGATGGCCATTATCCCTGAGAAAATATATTACGGTTCAAGTGTTTATAAGTTATGTTATTTAAAAAATGGTGGAAACCTAATTTTTCACCCCATTGGTTTACCCATATTATAAGCTGAAATTCAAAATCAAATGGATGTAGGCAGTAAATAATTTAATTTTTTGCAATTCTGCATTTAAAATTATTTGGTTTTGTGCTTAAAAACATAAATAAAGCATTTAAAAGTGAGCGATTCCTTTTTCGATACCAAGTACCAAAAATTGACGCTAGGTCACCGCCGTTAATTTGCAAGGTGCAGTTTCCGATATTTAAAAATTCCGAACCGAAAATTGAGGCAAAATAAAAGGAACAGATATAAATTTCTATGCGATATGGTGCTATAATGTACATTTTATTAGCTTAATATTTTATTGTGAACTGTGTTATTAATGTAATGTAAAATTATGCTAGTTAATTATGCTATGCGGCTATAGAATTGCGGCGACTGCCTCGGTTGCTACTGCCATGTCTTTTACGTTTATCGTCTGCCTTTATATTTCCATCCGCTGTTTCCCGGTTGGTATCTGGATCGGCATGAGCATCCGGATCTCTTTGGTCGCTCTTGCGCCGATGCCTAAATGTCTGTTTTATTTCGCGCACCTCTTCTCGCATGCGATCCTTGGTGTGCTGCTCGATGGTGCGCTGTATGTGCTCCGCGGAGGCCACCAGCTTATCAGCCTCAAGGACAATGCGTTTCGATGAATTGCTGCGGCTGCGACTACGGCTGTGACTGCGACGCTCACGGCGCGAATTCGAGCGCTTCGAGTGTGTGCGAGATCGGGAACGGGAGCGTGAGTAGCTGCTGGAGCGTGAGCGTCGGGTTGAGGCTAATTTGCGATTCTTGCGCTGCGCCGGCGTTTTGCTGCGACTGTGTGAATGTGAGCGACTGTGGCTGCGTCTTTAGTGGAATATAGAGAGTACAAGTAAAAACTGAACTTATAAAGAAAAACCCCATTCCCATGCCTACCTGGAGCGCGATGAGTAAGAGGACTTGCGGTAATTGGAGCGACTGCGGCTGCGTGAATGTGAACGCCTGGAACGACAAATAAGACTGCACATATATTGCAATGGAAGATAATCCGTTCCAGTTAGACTTACCGACGTCCACGCGAACGACTGCGACTGCGCGAATAGGAGCTGGACCGTGAACGATTTCTGCAGTAAATATATTTATATATACATAAGCGTAAAAATAGATAAACCAATATCAGAGACATCACTCACCTGCCGCGCGAGGACTTATGATAGTAGTTATCGTCGCCATCGACTTCGTCGTAGCAATCGCCATCGTAGTGTTTCGGATTATAGTAGGAGGAGGAGTGAGAGTCGTAGCCAAGTCGACTGCCGCGCATGCCCCGACCGCGTCCACGGCCGCGCGGACGCGGCGCAAAGCCGCGATAATTGCTGGACACGGGAAACGGCGGTGGACCGGGTGCACGATATAATGCTGCCCCGGGAAAAACGGTCGGCATGCCGTAACCAAACATGGAAAGCGATTGCATCCATTCGCTGGCTGCCTCAGCATTATACGCGGCAGCCGCAGCTGTGCCCGGTACAGCGCCCGCGGCCAAAGCGGCCGTTACAGCTTTGAACGGATTGATTACCACATTCGCATTGGCACTGGCCGTCTGAGCAGCTACTGCTGCAGGTACACTGGCGTCCACAACCTTGCCATTAACCTTATGCCTCTTGTTACCAATCGTGCCTTCTTCCTCGCTGCTAGCTGCGGCGGTGCTGCTGCTCTTCTTGGACTTGCTCTTGAGCAGGCCCATGAGCGGAGTATTGGTTTTGATTTCCTGGACAATCTTGCGCTGATCGCAGACTAGTTTCTCCGTGGCACTTTTGTACTTTTCCACCAGGCGACCGCGTTGCAGATCCTTCGCCTCATCATGTTGGGCACTATACGATTTTCGCTTTTGTTTGAGCTGAGAAGGCAGAAGAGAGCAAAATAAGATTGGAATTACGTTAACCTATGGCCCAACTAACCTGTATCCGCTCGAAGACCTGCTCCAGGATGCGTATGCTCTCCAGCTTTCGCTGCGCTATCATCAGTTTGCGCTCCTCGATGCGTATCTTTTGCGAGATCTCCACTTGGCCGCGCTCCTGTATCTTTTTCAGATGCTTCTCCTTTCGCTTCTCTTCGCGCGCTCGCTGTTTCTCCAACTCGGCTAATTTCAATTGTTCTTGCTTTTGCCTGTAAATTTTGTGCAATTTTGCGCATGTTTTTTTGTTTGTTTTGTTTTTGCTAACAACTTGTTACTGTTTCGTCTAGAAGAGGCAGAAAACTGTGTAGCTCGCCAAATTTGCCACAAATAGCCGACTATATATGCTCTTTATAACACATACGATGAAGATAAATAGTCGACTATATATGCTCAATATAACACATACACATGAAGATAGGTAACTATCGAACAGAAAATAAAACCGATGAAATTCTAGAGACTGAACTTTCAAATTAAAACAAATTGAAATATTGCGAATAATTTCCCTAGAAAAGTATTACTTGCGAGACTTATACCAAATAATCTGAACTAAAGCTAAAATCCTTAACATGTTATAGTGATCCCATATTGATATGCTTGAATAGAAGAAGTTATAGAGTTTTCTTCGGAGTGCCAAAGATTGAGTATTTCAATACTTAACAATGTTTTCAAACAAAAAAAAAAACTGGATTGTTTTCATACAAGCTAAATTCGTTTACTACATCATAAGTAATTCGATGCAGATAATGTTGCTTATACACAAAAAAAATCAAGCGTGTAATTGCTGGATTTGGTTAAGATATCTTGCAAAACAAGAGAGCTGTACAGAAACTTTGTATTTGACGTATTGTACCTACTGCCTGCAGCTACGACGGACCATGAAAAGCTTTATCAAGAAAGCTTTACGACTGAGATTAGTATGCATAAAAAATAAACATACAGAAATGCCTATTGCCAATCGGAAATATGGAATAATAATATATATATACACAAGAAGATTGATTCATTTCACGGTTCCAACTAATGCCTTGCATTTGGGTTAGGTATTTGAGTACATGGTTTTCCATACACTTAAACTGTTCCCAGCGCTAACCTGACAAAGACAATTTCGCTTGATTGTTAACCCGGCTGTTGTAATCGGGTTGGTATTGTTCTCAGCATTCAGTTTCATTTTCTGCCCGCGTACACAAAAATGATTTAAATCAAACCTTTCGCGGTCCTCCAGTTCGGCTTGTTTCTTTCTTTCGCGCTCGCGCTCCTCATCCTCAGCCTGAGCCTTAGCAATGCAGCGTTTCCGCATGCGCTCCCGCCGCTGTACGTGCGAATCACTCAGATGCTTCTGTTTGTCAAAGTTTACGTTGATGTTGATGGCCTGTGTCTTGTCTACGAACTTGCGCACTAGCTTGGTGCTCCTGAACTCATCCATCGCACGCACAAAGCTCGAGTATTCCTCGAATTGCACATAGCTGTAAATGTAAGCAATTAGGGACTACAGTAAATCCTCCATGGAAGAGGCTACTCACGCTTCAAAGAGCACATCCTGCTCGAAGCTAAATGTTCGCATGCCGCTGATATCCGATTGCATGCTCTTTCTATACGGATCGCAGATGGGTATATCAACGGTACGCACACGCCCGAACTTCTCGAAGATGCGCTTGAATATGCTCTCGCTGGGTTTCACATGCTCGTCGTTTTCGGCATGGCGCGCACAGAACCAGCGTATGGGCAGGTGGGTGATATGTATAGTGTCCGGTCGCTCGCCCGCCTTCATCTCGTCCATGTTGCGGGCATCCCGAAAATACGAGTCCCAGTCGTGGCGGGTGGGAAACTCATCCTTTGTCTCAGTGCAGCGCACACGAAAGGCGTCACTGAAGCCAGACAGGCGCAAAGCAACTCCGTCCAAGCGGTCAATGGCCAGACGTAAACGCTTGCGCTCGTCCAGCTCCGCCTCAAAACGTATGTAGTTAACGGTGCTCTTGGAGACCTGGGGAAGATAAAACAGTTATCACCAGCTGCAAAGGAGACATCAATCCCATCAAACCCAAGTTAAGGTGTCAGCTCGAAGAATTCTCCTTTCTCTTCTCTTCAGCTATACTTACCTTAAGCACCAGAAACTTATCCGGCTTGAGTTCTGCACTGAGTTTATCCATTATCTCTAGATTGGAAACGGATTTTCCGGTTTTGATTTTTTCGGGCAATGCAACTGATATTTGCATTTTTGCCAACGGCTTGAGGTACAAACTGTGCGGCAGATACAGCGGCGTGCAGTCCGCAACATTTTCTATAGTCTGAATGTTGATCATTGTTTTATAGGGTATTTTTGTTGTTTATGTGTTTTTTATATAAGGTAATTAAGGTAAAATACAAATAGTAAAATTGATATAAAAAAACAAAATATATAAACTACTTATAAAGTTAGAATCCTGTGTGTATGTGTTTTATAGGATGTGTGTGTGTACATGAAATATGTGTGTGTTCCCCGCCCGTTGCCCTGGCCTAAATCCGATGATGACGATTTTTCAATGGTATGTGTGTCTCTGCCGCTGAAAAGCTATCTGTGTTTTTTTTATAACGAAATCGTCACCACGGTGGCAGATCTACTTAAAACTAATAATATTATGACTTTTTATTGCCAAGTTTTTCCTAAAAACGAGGCACTTTAAAATTTTTCACTTTGCTGCTTTTGCACTTTTTTTAACTGCTAGAGATGAGAGCAATATCGGTGTTATCGAGTGACTGATTGAACACCCGCTCACGACAAACGATATTATTAGGTATCGATTATAGTATATTGTGAGTTGATTTTGTAAGTCGGTTTTATATTTTTATTCCTTTTGGTCTTGGACAATTTCACACTGATATTCACAGTAAATATTTTAATGGTCTTATTTACCTAAAAACAGGCTGAGGCTATTATAAATTTTGATCTCTGTCAATAGCAGGTTGTCAAATGTTAATGTTATTGTCGCTGTAATAGTCGCTGTTATAATACAGAAGAAGAAGACGGCGGAACTACGAATGTGCGTTATTTCATTTTTATACCATTTAATTTAATTAGAAATTTAAGTAATTCAACAATATGCGTGTGTGAAATTAATGTAATAATAAAAACCAACAAGGGACCCACGGCACAGCGTGTACATGGGAAAAAATTGACGCGAAATATAACTGCCAAAAACAACAACCACAGCAGCAGCGACCAGCACACCAACAACAACAGCAGCAGCAACAACAACGCAATTGTGATAGACAAAGAAATAGATTAAGAAGGGGAAAAGGAAACAGCAAAAAGCCCAACAAAATAATATAACGCAAAACAAAAACAAAACGCAACATATTTAAATATTAAGCATATCGCGCTAGTTTGGGCAGCTTTAACACATTGTTTTGATTTCTTTTTGATACGCAACGAAAAGTGATACAACAAAAATAAAGAAAAAAGCAATAAACAGGCAAAAGCAATGTGGTAAAAAATAAATAAGAATATACATAATTAGAGGAAATGCAAAAACGCTGGCGCTGACGCTAAGAGACAAGAAAAAGACGAAGAAGGAGAAGCTAAAGCTGGCCACCAGCAGCTTTTGTTTTGGGCTCCGACGTCAACGTCGCTGCTGCTGCTGCGGACACACACAAACAAACACTCACACACATACAGGCACACACAGCCACAGCTGATGTCAAATCATTCGCAGCGTTCGTGTTCGTGCTCGTGAGCGTTTTCAATTGATTAAAACCAAAACACACATATGTACACGGACAGACCACAAACAAACAAACAAATACAATCATACATAAACACACACAGGCCAGCCATTGTGAAAATTGATTAAAGATTACAAGGTAAGTGCGAGGCAGGCTGTCAGCAGCCACCACATCGTTTTAATTAAGCATCTATAGTTATAGTTTATGCAAACAAGTACACATTGTTGATGACGCCCTTTTTGCTGCATAAATTTCGAATGACCGCCCACAATCCCCATGCCTCCCTCCCCACCCATTCCCGGTCCAACACTGTGAAACCAAATGCAGCTCTGCACCTGCTGCCATTTTCTTTCTGAACGTCAGGCAACCCTTGTTTCTTTCGTGCTGTTGTTATTTGTTTGTGTGCGTCGGTTGGTTTGAGCCAAATTACAATTAATTGCAACAATTTACATATTTTAAGCGCATATCTAAATTAGTTTTCGCACAAATTATAACGTTTGGAAATTGCAACTGTCATTATTGCTCTATCTCTGTGTATGCGTTTTCGCTGAAATCATTTTTGCTAGCCCAAAACAATCGGCGCGTAGACAAAATGCAATGTAATGGAATATAACAAAGTGCAGGCCAAAACTATACACAAACGCACGCACAATCACAAGCAAATGCATACTCATACAAGTGCATAGTGCAGTTTGTGATGGCCAGTGCTGCCAACCGAGCGAAAGAAATATCATATGTACTTCATAACTGGCTGTTGCTGCTGTTTTTATTACTATAATGCAATCGTGATGTGATCGCGCGCATCAGCTGTTCACAAACAGCTGCGTATTGACGGGTTTAAGCAAGGTCTTCAAAATTTTCGCTAAAACTTAGCAACTAACTGTCATGTTTATCTCATTTTACTTGTTTATCGCACTTTACTTTTTTTGCCTTGAAGTTTCGCGAACGTACTAGCTTAAGTAGGCTCTGCTTGTTTAACTTACATTTTTATGTGTGTGTTTGGCCATTACAAATAATAATAATATTAACGCATTATAACCTAGTTTACTTAACAGCAGGACAATAACAAAAACGCAAAAAATATTCAATTATAAAAAAACAGAATGTGAAATTCCTAATTAATGACTACTCTTGTTCGTGTGTGTGTGAATATATATGTATATATATATATATATATATATATATATATGGGCGCGTGTGTATGCTTGTGACAGTGTTTGTGCTGCTGTTTTTGCCTCCTGCAACGCCGATAAACTCTGACGTCGCCGTTGTTGTCGACGTCGGTAGCTGTTGTTGTTGCTTGCTTTAATCAGTTAACAGTCTGCGGAGATGCTGCTAAATGACCCTAACGCACAAAGTTCAGGGCAATCTGCAAATCCCCCAACCATGCGTTAACAGCTGTTATCTGGTGCTGTATGCGCAGCGAACTTGATTTATTCGCTTTAATTACATTGCATGTCACAGGTATGTACAATTGTATACACATGCATGCTTGTACATACATATACATCTACGTATGTGCGCATGCATGGTCTTTGTACTTAATTGCGTTGATAAGCTGTTATCAGGTGGACACCGTGGGGCGATCTTGAATTTCATTGATGAGTAATCGAAAGTTAAAGCTGTCATTTTGTTGTTCCTGCTGCAATTGCTATTTCAATTGAGAGCGTAATACTTTTACTCTTAAGGAACTCAAACGGGAATTTTCGGCATTTTCCCTGTCTAAAAATGAATATTTCCCCTAATTAGTGAGTCTTTCTGGTTACTTTAACTTAATAAAGCAATTTTGAGAAAAAAATGTTTCTTTTCCAAAAATTATGAAATTCGCCTAGGTAAAAAAAAGCAGGCAGCAAAAGACGTCGCAGGTAATACAAAACTCATCTCTATCTCTCTTTAACTCGCATTCGCTCTTCTGCTCTTTCCATCTCTCACCCTCGTTTAAGTCGAGGGATCGCGCACACGTGTAGCCCTGCTCTTAACAGCGTCGTAAGCGTCGGCGGCGTTGGCTTCGACGTCGACGTCTGTTAGTTCTGTATGTTACGCCCGCAAGTCTAGACGTTTTTTTGTTTTTGGTTTAACTAAGGTGCGTTGATAATAACATCCGTTGTTTCTGTTGTTGTTCCCGTGTGCAATTTACATACATAGCTAAATCGACGTTATTTTTGTATTAATTTCTTATCGCTCCGTCCACGTTTGCACAAGCGCCAAAGTTTGCCAGACAAATTGTAAACAATATGTATTATATACATGTAACAACTCGAGTTGAATAAACAGCCACAAAAACAACTAGTTCTTTATTGCGACTTTAAAAAACGAGCAGCGACGTCGACGGCAGCGTTCGTTTAGTCATTAACATTTGAACTGCTGCCCGCCAACAGCAGCGCCATAGTGTCTAATCTAGCTGGCATGTTATCGCTAGCATTAGATCATGTTAACAGTGTCTGTTAAATGTTAATTGTAGATACACAGATGGCGACTAAGCATGTGCGCGTGAAATCACAAAAAAAAGTATTATGCTCTAAATAGAAATAAATGTAAGCTTATAGTACAATAAAATAATGATGACCCCCTCAGAACTGCGCCACTGTTAACGTTCTCTTTCTTTTTATTGCCTTGTTTTGCAGCCTCTCAACGCTAGGTGGCAGCTCCACGCAAATCAAACAAACAAACACACACACACACATGCACATGCACTTGCATGAACTCGGAAAGCATTAGCACTGCCAAACAAAGAGGAGACAAGAAGAAGAAGAAGAAGAAGCAAAGTGTAGCAGTAGGTGGCGGAGGAGGAGGAGAGCAACCGTTGAAGCCTAAACCCTCACCGACAGCTTCTGCCTCATGATGTTGTACGTATTCCATGTGGACGTCGGTCGCATGCTGAGCTTCGATATGACCGTTGCTCTGTCCTCGGTGGAGAATCTTAAGGAGACAATACAACGGCTACACGGCCTGCCTGCTGCCAATATTGTGTTGCTGGTTAGCGGAGGCGAGATGCTGACACACTCCACACAGGTGTCCTGCTATTCGGCGGGCACCGATACGAATCCAATTTTTATGTTTCTCACCGGCGACGAGCGGCTGGCGCCAACGATAGCCAGCGGCAGCGGCGGCGGCGGCGCTGGTAGGACAGCCAGTGAAGTGATAGATGCAGAACTGCGACGCCAGGTGGAGGAGAATCAGCCCGCTGTACTGGAGACGGTGCGTCAACGTGCAACGCTGGCGCAGCACTTGCGCGAACTGGGCCGCAAAGAGGAGCTGTTGTGCGAGCGTCTGGTGCACGAGCAGCATCTGCAGCAGCAGGGCTGGTCCGCGGTGGTGGCCAACATGGAGGACCTGACGAGCGAGTTCAGTGAGCGTTTTCACAACTTCTGTCTGGCCTTCGATCGACATCTGGAGCAGCGCGAGAGCTACCTGGAACTTTTGCGCAACTTTGGCGATGATCTCAAGCAGCTGGCGCGCATACCCATATTGCCGGCGCTGATGACGCTGGCCCAGGCCGATTTCCATGGCTTTGACGAGCTACTCGGCAACGACAACGACAACGTTGACGAAAACGTTGGGCAGCCGCAGCCGAAAACGGAGACTGAGGTGGGTGATTCCGGCGAGGCGGGCGATTGTGTGGAGAAGAGTAGCAGTAGTACATCGCCCAACAAGAAACTGAAAATGGGCCACGAGCAAGAGGATCAAGAGGAAACCTCCAACCCAAAGCAACAGCAGCAGCAGCAGCACCAACTCAATCTGCTACAGTGGATCAGCTCGAAGGGCAATCACGCGGCGCTGCAGCAAATGTGCGATGAGTGCGTCCAGGGCCTAGACACCTTCTCCCTGGAAATTTACGAGAAACTGAAGCTCGAGGTGCAGAACATCATCAAGAGTGCCAAACAGAGCGACGTCAAGGAGATCAAAGGCCTGAGCGATCGTCTGTACCGTCTCGACGAGTTCAAGTATGAAATACGCAAAATCGTGCAGGTTCAACGGGAACAGGCCACAGCGTTCCAACAAAATGAGACCCGTGCGGTGAATCTGCGCGATAATTCGGTGCTGCCCGATTTGTGCCTCTCGCATCGCTCCCAGCTGATGGTGATGCGAGATAATCATATTAAGATACGCGAATATAGTCGCTGTATAGCCAACTCCAAGGAGGAGCTGGGACGCAATCTGAACACGCGTCTGCGTCGCATCGTTTGGATCGAAAACGGAATGAGTGAGTTCGACAATCGCTTGCTCTTTTATCTGCGCTGCCTGCGGCGGGCCGAACGCCACATTAGCATCATCGAGCAGATACATCGGGCGCCGAGCACCTATGTGGCGGCCGTCACGGAGGTGGTGCGTCGGAAGATTTTCTCGGATGAGTTCCGTTTGTGGGCATCTCGGCTGTCTGTTGATTTCGATCGCATCCACAGCGAGGAGATGGAGCGGCGGCGTCTCTTCAACGACAGCTTCGATGGCCACTTTTTGAATATTCTATTTCCGGGCATGGCAGATATGCCGCCCACGTTTGCCAATGAGCATCCCGAGCTCAGCTTCGACACACGTCTGCCCCAGCTGAGCTGCTCCGATATTGAACTGCTCTCCGTGCAGCTGCCTGACCTAGCCACGCAGCTCCAGCTGCCGGACATGGCGCCCGTCCTGCAGTTCTTTGAGCAGCGGCACAAGACAGCAGCACAACCGGAGCAGATGGAACTGGCGCCAACAGCTGTCTGTCAGCCTGTCAGCACACAAACCGTGAGCACCTCCACCAGTCAGAATGTGGAGCAAGTTGCGCGCAGCACCGCCACGGAACAGCTGCTGATGCTCAGCGCCAGCACGCTGACGGATGACAATGCTGGCAGCGAGCAGCGGCTGCGCGATGCCCTCCAGGATATGTCCAAGCTGGCGTTGCAGTGCGTGGCCACGGCGCGCTCCAATCTGAGCACCCTGCGCAATGAGCTGAGCCGTGGCCACCAGGATGAGCTGCAGCTGTTGCAAGACAAGTGGCAACTGCTGCGCATGCAGTGCGAGCAGCGGGAAAAGCAGCAGGCGGAGCAGCTGGAGGAATTGCGTCAACAACTGCTGGCGGCGGACCACGACAAGATGACGGCCGTAGCGCAAGCACGCGAGCAGCTAATACACGAGCACAAAACGGAACTGGAGTCGCTGCGCTGCCGCTTCAAGCTGATGACCTCGATGGAGCGTTCTCCGTCGGACAGCAGCCTGGAGAAGCTGGAGCGGCCCACAAGCAGCGCCAGTGTGGCCAGCCTGGATGTGGAACAGCTCCTGGTGCAGCAGCGACAGGAGTTGCTCGCCCAACGAGAGCGCGCCATCAGCGAAGCTGTCGAGGCGGAGCGCGCTCTCTGGCAGTCGCGGCAACAGTTCTTGCCACTGAACTCAGAATCTGTGATGGCGAATGTGTCCATATTGAAGGACGTTCTGGAGGACAAGGAGCGCCAGCTGGACTTACTGCGTGAACAAAATCAATTGCTCACACAGGAGAGCTACCAGCTGAAGACACGCCTCGAGATGCTTACCAATGAGGATGGCAACAGCTGGCTAAAGGAGAAGATCGACTATCTGAGCCGTGACAAGTGCCGTCTGGAGGAGGAGCTCAGCCAGGAGAAGAGCAAGCGACTCGAAATGGAGTCCAGTGTGGCTGCAATGAGAAGGTGAGTTAATTATTGTCGAAACTTCATTATCCTGCTTGATTGACAGACTGATTGATACAACTGACTGATGCCCAATAAACTGATAGATTAACTGATTGACTGGCTGATGACTAATTGTTAGATTTACTAACAGTCTGGTTGTCTATCAAATTGATTTGATTGACTGACTTGGATTATAAGCTGACTGATTGAATAATTGATAGACTGATTGATTGACTAACTGATTGATTGATTACTTTTGACTGACTGACCTATTGATTGACTCATTGACATTCGGTCTGGTTGCATGTCTTGTCTTATACACTGGCTGATTGAATAATTGATTGAATGATTGATTGACTAACTGAATAGCCTATTGAATGACTGTCTAACGGTGTGAGTGTCGGCCTAATTGAGTGACTGACTGATGGCTTATAAGCTAACTGATTCTACAATTAATAAATTGACTTACCGATTGACTGACTAACTGATGACTAATGGCTAACGATCGGGTTGTCTGTCTTGGCTTATAAACTGACTGATTAAATAATTGATTGAGTGATTGATTGACTGACTAACGATCTTGTCAGTTTTATTCATTCACTGACTTATGGCTCATAAACTGACTGAACGAATAATTTAGGGATTGTTTGGTTGAGCTACTAATGGATTGACTAACTAACTGGTTACCTACCGCATGAGTGAATTATTGATTGACTGACTAAAGGACTCATTATAATTACCTAGCTAATTATCTGACTGAAGATTAATGAATTGGCTGATAGATTGCCTTACCGGTTGAATCACTGACTGACTGATAACAAGTTAATGCCCAACTGGTTGATGAACTGGGCGACTGATGGATTGGTTGATTTAATGACTTATTTATTGAGTGATTGATTAATTCTGTCTTCTATATAAACAGTTCCACTTATGAGCTGGGCGCTGCAGGCATGACCGGCACACTGACGCGCTCCAAGTCAAGTGGCGGCGGCGGCGGCTCGTCCTCGTCGAGTCATCGCCACATCACGCTCGAGGGCTGCACCAAGGGCGATTTGGTGTTTGTGATTTGGAGCATGCGGCATGGACAGTTCATGGTTGTCCAGGATTCGCTCACCCTCTATTTTGTGCATGCGGACAGTTTGCCCGCTCTGCAGCTGACGGCGCCTACGACGACGGCATCTTCTTCTCTGCCGCCTGGCGCCGAGGGACCGCTGGCTGTCGCGGAACTGAATCAGATACCGCTGCCCTACTACGCCATCGGGCGCATCATCGACAAGGAGTACTGCCAGGCGCGCAAGGTGAGCTCACAGTGAATAGTATGCAATAAGTCAATCCAAACTAAGCGTATTGTTTGCCATACAGGACGAGAACCGTTATCGTGTCAGCAAGGGCTCTAAGTTCTATCGGATCAAACTGGCGCCATTGTCCTCGCGATATCCGTTTCGTCGCGAGCGTTTGGAATGTAAGTGAGTGAGCGGGTGGCTAAAAGTCACGCAGTGAACGAACTGAAGCTCAGAACTGGTTACTTAGTTGTTCATGAAGTAACATATTTTATTGGTTTACCATTTAAAATCCTAGTTCCAGGAGCAGATTTTAGCTTTAATCTATTTAATTGCATTGATAAAAAATTGAAGAACTTGTTATAAGGTTAAATGAGAATAGCTAAAAAAGATTCAAAATGTACTAATGTACTTCCTTTGATTCGTATATTTAATAACTAAGCTTATTTTATAATAAAACAAGTAAGAGGTTCTAGTCGGGAGCTCCCGACTAGGGGATACCCTGCACCCTCTTCTTCCGACAGGCGATAGGTATAAAATAAAAAATACTTGATATATATATACTATTCTAGAAGCTACTGTCAAGTTTGGTGACTCTAGCTGATATTATTTGCCGAAATTGCTCAAAAAACAGGATTATCGATTTTTATCGATTACTTGGAAACGGGGCAAGTTATCGAATATCGGAAAAAAAGTCGATCTGCGCGCGGATTCTGAGGACCTACAGCTAAAATTTCAATTCCCTAGCTCTTATAGGTTCTGAGATCCTTGCGTTCATTCATACGGACGGGCGGACAGACAGACAGACGGACATGGCTAGATCGACTTGGCTATTGACGCTGATTAAGAATATATATACTTTATGGGGTCGGAGATGCTTCCTTCTGCCTGTTACATACGTTTGCACAAATACCCTGTTTACCCATTTTTAATGTGTTCAGGGTATAAAAATAGCCTGTTACGAAATGAACTGTGCTTGGAACTCGTCATGATTTACTTAGCTAGGCTTTTCTGAAAGTACTTCAGCAATAATTCTATTTGAAAAGAATAATAGAATAAATTGTACAGAATGGATGTAAAGAGAAACTGAGAAATATTGATCTCTGTAAATATTCGTTTTGTATTAACACTTTTGGAATAATAAAACTGTCCGTAATGAAAAATGTTAACTAAGTTTAGTTAAATATTCTTATTAGCACACTTAAAAGGAAACATGGGCTGTTAAAATTCAAACTTGAGCGTTCAATAATTGTTGACTAACAGCTGTTAATTCAGATAACAGATAACAATTAACTAACTAAATCTCTCTCATTAATATTTTTTTAGCAGCAAGCTCAGTCGGCGTTATTAGCCGCTGGCAGCTGGCGACGGCGGTGCGAGATGTGATTGATGCGCCCGGTTCAACGAGCATTGCTGGCAGCAGCGTCTATCAAAGCTTCAAGGAGCGCACGGTGAGCATCTCTAGCGTTAACGAGGAGGAGGACGAGTCGGCCTCTCTGCTCAGCGAGCGCTGTCGCTACATCAGCGTTAGTGAGGAGGATGAATTGCTGGCGCTTGCTGCTGGCGGCGGCGGCGGCGGCACAGAATCAACAAAAGCGATAGCAGCAGCAGCAACAGCAACAGCATCAACAAAAGCAGCAACAGCAACAATAACAGAAACGGCAGCAGCGACGGCAACTCAAGCACAGTCTGTGATAACAGAGCAGCCAACGGCATCAAGAAAACTAAAGTTGGATCTACTGTTGGCCTCTGCTGATATAATAACACAATCCCTAACACAACAACAACAACCACAACAGCAACAACCGCAACAGGCGAAGGAGAGTGAGAAGAAATCAAAGGAAGCTGCACAGTCGGAGCCTGTGGCGGACAACACGACAACAACGATTACTACAAATGTACCCAATCCTGTTTCGGCTGCAAATCTAAGCGAACTGGCCGAAGAGCCAGTCAATATCTATGTATCCACAGCAGCAGTAGCAACAACCACAACAACAATAACAACGGCAACAGTTGCCGATGTTGTTGTTGTCGTGGAGCCAATTGTAAACACAGCGGCAATATTACCAAGATCAATTGGTACGGCAACCATTAGCGAGGATTCCGATGAGTATCGCTCGCTGGAGGGCAAGGATGAAGCCGATGAAGAATAATACAATTTTTTATATATAATTATATATAGGATGTCCTAAGGCCGTAGATCACGGCATAGAAATGGCAACAGACGTCGCGACGTGTTTATTTAGGCTAAAACTCTTACTATTTATATAGGAATCGCCACCTTCCCCCGCCACCCCAACCCACAACTTACGCCTTTGACAAGTGAGCCACAGTGGAGACGATGGCGAAACACACACTCACACACACAAGAAATTCACATAGCACATGAAGAAGAAAGTTATATACTTAAATAATTTAATGTTTACAAATTCTGCAAATGGAAAAAAACAAAAAAAGATAATGAAACTAACGGCTAAAGTTCTATTATAGTTGTCTATAGTCTACATCTGTAATGTATAATCTTATATCACAGCTGTAAATGAGTTCGACTAAAGTCCCACACACACACACACAAACAATTTTTATTTCAAATAAAAATGACCACAAAATCAAATAAATTCAATTAGATTTTTGTTAAAGTTTTGAATGAAAAAAAATTGCACCTTTAATATTTTAGTGCCAAGAAATTGTTTGCAATAAACATTTATTTTTCTAGCAATTAAAATATATATAACAAATATTTATACGGCTAAATTATATTTTTATAGGAATTTTCACAGTTCCCCCTTATCCACAAATTATTCAAATTTTGCACACACCCCACCACATGACACCCACCACACCACACACACAATCGGAGAAAGTTTTTTGATAACGGAGGCGTAGCCCCGCCTATCTAACACCTATAGCTCAGCTCTTACTATCCTATAACAAGAGTTTTCAATTCTCTCTGTAAATAGCAATTCACAAATATTTCTGCCTTTCTTATATAACTTACAAGGTAACAACAACAACATACAATATATACACATTCAAGAGGAATATTGCGTCAAGAAGTTAAACAAAACAAAAAACTGCTTAAATTAAATAAAGCGCAACTGTATATAGAGAAACAAACAAACAAAAACCACTAAATTTTACTTTTACCAATATAAATTTAATTATTTTGTTTAAGTTGTCAGCAAGCATACAACAACAAACCGTTTAAAAGCGAAAATCAAATAAAACAAAAAAAAAATTGTAAAATTCTCGATGGCTTCTTTCGGCATCTGATAATTGTGGGCGCATAGAGGCGTGGCAGTCGATCCTAGCACACATATCGCACATATGCAATACATTTATCCACATAACCCTTTTTTCACTCAGAAACTTAGCGAACCGCCGCTTGAGATTTTCAGAGGAGATTTTGCTTGATGAGCGCTTGTAATTGCTGATTTTGGCGTTGGATATTTTGGAAAACAGAAAAATCTTCATAAAAGAACTTAGTTTACTACCGATTTCACCTATTGATATAATATTAATTTTTGTCATACGTGGGAAGTATAGCTAACCTATATACCTGCAATAACAAAAAAGTTGTGTTTTTGGCCAATATATAGTATAGTGATCCGATCCAGGGAACTCCGAGATATATAGTGCCAGCATTAAGAAGATAGCTTGTTGACAAATCTCATCAAGATAACTTTAAACTGTGCAACTAGATTGACTATAACCAGACAGACAGATTGACGGACATATCAACTCGCTTGTCGTTAGATCATTTACGACGAATATACATGCCTTTTGTAATCGGAGCTATATCGTTCAATGCGTTGCACTTTTATGTAAAAAACTATTAGAAAATACATTATTGAGGTCTTTAAAATCTATCGAGCTTAGGAAATTCTGTTGACGTCAATATATATTGATAGAAATTTAAAACGTTAGATTAGATTTTTGCAAATGTCTGCAGATATTTTAACTAAAAAATAGATTCGAGTTTTCAGATTCCAGAAATTTTTAATATTTTATAAATGGAATTGTTAAATATACAAAATAATTTATTAGTTTAATATTTATGAGCTTAGGTAATAACATATACTTGTATAATAATGTAGTTATAGTTAATATTTGCATATTTTGGGCTTGGATTCTCTGATCTATTCTCATGCTAATTGGCATTAGGACAAAACACACTCTGCATAGCCGACATAATTGCGTTTCTACATGCCTCTTGCTTGGTTAATAATTAAATGAGTTGGGCAATTAATTGCACATTTTGCCAGGGCTAATTTGCGAAGGATTCACACGAAGGCGCCCTCTAACCCCGCAGCCCCTCTCTCAAGTTGGGAGAGGTCCGGTGCTAGCGTGCCAAAAAGCCAATCTCAACTGTAGTAGAAAAATATACATAGCTATATATAGGGTATATATACTCGTATTAATATAGATACATACATATTTTTACAGAAGCGCACACACATATAATTAGATAATAGATAAATAATATATATATTTATCATATATATATATATATATATATATATATATATATATATATATATATATATATATATATATATATATATATATATATATTGAACGCTGCATCAGTCTCCGTTATAGAAAAGTGGGCATTATACAATGAAAAGTCGGTTACATGCTTATCTATTACTAACTAGACTAAAAATTAGAGTAGTTGCATAAATTATTGCACATGCATTTTGAGCTTGTGATTTTAAATACCCTTGCAGTTGGGTCTTATACATTTCTAAAAGCTGTTCGTAACGCAGAGATTTAATCTTAAATTCTTAGTTTTTATTTTAGTAAGGATTTCTGTTTAACTTTCTTGCTTAGTAAATGTCAGTTAAAGCTGTCAAACTGTACCAAAATATATTTAACTCATGACAATATTCTTAAATTATTTATTTATAAATAGTTTATGATGTTATTAGTTGATTTTTTATTAATTTACAATCAGTTTAAGTCATTAAAGTGGACCAAAATTGTTTTCGCTTTACAATTTTTAGCTATTTCATTTTTTAAGCTTTTTAAAGTTAAGCTTGTATAATATATTAAATTTGCTGATACTTTACATGTACAAGGATTGACTGAAATATTAGTCAATTAACACCAGAGTTTAGGCAGTTAAAGTGGACCAAAATCTAAAATATTTTAATATATTTATTTTGCTGACTGCAAGAGTATTTAAACTTCGTTAAGCCAAAGTTTTTGTTAAATAAACTATTCGTGTGCTTATGTTTTTTATCTGTTCACACCCCCCTGATTCCCATCTTTCCCCCTTCTTCCCTGCTCCACTCCACATATCATGCAATGACTGCCAACATTGCGGAGTCTGTGCACGACTAGTGAATGGCTCTGACTGCTGACTTGGGGCTGTGGCTGCATCCAACGCTTGGCTGGTCACATGCCTACAACTTGATTTGGGGCTCTAAAATAATAAAGCGTTAAATATGCTCCAGTTATTAATTGGCCTTAGCTGCACAGATCCCCTCGTACACCTTACCCTTAGCCGCCTCACAAGATGCCGCACTTTTTGAGCACAATTTTGCGCTTTCGCGCCGCACTGGAGCTGCTGCCCTTTTTGGCCGGCCGCAGGACAATAGTGCCGCTGCTGGACTTGGTGAAGGTCGGACTGAAGGCGCTGATGGTGGGTGTGCTGCTGTAGGGCGGATGCGTTGACTGTTGCTGACTATTGTTGGCGCCAGCGCCGGCCACCTGGTCGTAGCTCTGCGTCATCAGCTGGTGGCACTTGGTGGCCAAATAGCGAAACACAGAGGCCACATTGATGTCCTCCTTGACGGAGGTGCGTATCAGTCGGCAGTTGAGCATCTTGGCCAGCGTTTCCACCTCGTCCGCACTGACCACAGCCTGCTCGATTAGATCAATCTTGTTCTGCACTATCACCGTGGGTATCTCATTGCATTCGTTCTCCACTTTGCGCTTCCACTCCTTGATGGCATCGAAGGAGGCGCGATCTGTCGTCGAGAAGACTAGCACTGAGGCCTGGGCGCCCCGATAATACGCCTTGGTTATGCAATCGAACTCCTCCTGGCCGGCCGTGTCCCACAGCATGATGCGCACATCCTCGCCATCGATCTCGATCTGGCGCTCCAGAAAATCAACTCCAATCGTTTTCTTGTAGTCCTTGGTGAAGATGCCCTTGCAATAGCGCTGGATCATTGAGGATTTGCCGACGCCTCCATTGCCGACGATCACCTGAAAAAGTAAATAGTGAAGTGTTCAATTTATCAGCTATAAGTTCATTTCTCGATCTAAAAAATGTCAGATTATAATAATTGATATTATATTATGACAATTATTCAATTTTAAATATAATATTTGTCAAAACGTCAATAATAGATCAAACTTCAAATGCTTAAGTTTATAAATATGAGAATGATCATATTTTTATCAAAAATTTCGAGGAACATAAGAGAATAAAGATATGTATAAAGAAATTTTATGTATATAAGATATTTAACAGTTACTTAATCTCTTATTTAATCTCTTAAACAAGAGTTTTTATTTCGTTTAATCCTCAGGTGGAAAACCGAATGCAGCTTTGTTTAAGAGTCACACATTCTAGAAGAGGCATTTCCTCAGAATTTCTCATTCACCGGCGAATAATAACCGTTGCAAATGATCAATGATTGTTCTGCCTGCTCTGGTAGAATATATATATATAGTATATAAAGCTATTTATATAATTGCTGATGGTGTGCGTGTGTTGTGCAGGGGTTATTATTTAACGCTTATCCACGGCACAAGCTGCAGCAGCAACTACACTGAGAGAAAAAGGTCAAGAGTGTTGTACTTAAATCAAGTAAAAACGTTTTCAATATACGAACAAGGACGAAATTTCTTCGATTCCTATTTTAAGAACTTTTATTAATCCCGAAAATACAAAATATAAAGTACTGAATTACTCTGGCTAAAAAATTTAATTTGTTTTTCGCTTATCTGGAAAAAAGTATTTTCTAATAATTCCAAGTATTTTTTGCTAATATAATGTTCACAAAATGCAAAAAAGTTCTGGTAAAAAGTATTTTCTTGTATTCAATTAAGAAATTCGATTTAATAGAATTCAACATTGATTTTCTCCCAGTGTATCATTTATATCTATCCTCAGCTGATTGGAACTGGACACATTCATCATTCTAATTGTGGGGTCTTCGGCTGTTAAAGGGAGGGGGGGGGGGGGGGGGCAGGGGCACACACTAATGTGTGTCGGATAACTTACCACCTTAATGGCCAGCTCGATATCGTCCTCACGCATGCTACTGTAATTGTACTGGGACTGCGAGTGGGACTGTAGAGCAGCTGCAGCAGCTCCGCCCGTTGCCGTTGCCGTTTGGATTAACAGACGCATCGGCGGCCGCACGATCCGCTTTGTGTTCGGTTCGATTCGGTCGGCCCGTTGATTATTTAGCAGGCAATTAAAGCACGCTAAGCAAATGCTAGTATTCACCTGTTTTCGGCAAAGTCCAGTTTGTGCGGGGATTTTCACTTTTCGCGTGGCTTTTGCGTAATGTCAAAGCGATTGCAATTCACTTTCTACGCATTGATTTCACCAAAATCGAATACAGAAACTGGAACTGTGGAAAAGAAAACCCAAACGTCACGAAAAAATAGACTCACAAAAAAAATGCATGCAACAGATAAAGTTTTTCTTTCGTTTTCATAGCAACCGGTTTTTCAGTACGCTCTTTTTTTCAATTTTATTCATATACATTTTTTTTTTGGTCTTTTTCTTGCCTTCCTGTTTTGGGCTAGGGGCGGGCGATGACTGCGGCTTCTAATAAGACGCTACGTGAGCCGGTTACATTTACAACAAGTGCTACCAACACACCACGCAGCGCAAAGCGCGCGGCTCACGCATCGCAAACGACAAGTCGCAACTTGTCTCTTCGCCCAGTAGTTGTCATTAGAATTGGGAATGTAGCAAGATCAGAGGTGATGCTATGTGCATGTGTGTGTGTGTGCATGACATTAGCGCGTGCTTATGAATTCTTTAGAAATGTTGGAAATTAACTGTCAGAAGCTTTGTGGGCGCGCGAAGTCGAACTCTATTACCATATGCTATTTTAGAGACAATAGTAGTACAATAACCGTTTTATGACTATGAATTTTAAATTTTGCGGAATATGAATATTTATGAATACCAATTTTTCAAATAAACTGCTCCACTTGACGCCGTTGACACCGCTTTTCTAATTTTTAAGCAGAAATTACAATTTTTATTTTTTATTTTTATTAATTTTTTTAAACTCCAGCACTTTCACGCTTTAGGTTGAATAACATGTGAGGTTTCCATTCATTTTTATTCTCCTCAAATTTCCATTGACCAATCACAACCATTCACCATAATCAATGCAAGGCCCCATCTCTAACTGTTCCAATTCCAATATAAATTTGATGGGCCACACTGCATTTGCATTTCGCTTACATTTGGCTTTTAGATTTATGCAGTCTTCGACTCTTGGTTTTTGTGCTGCTCAAGCCACGGTGCGACATTTGACCGCGCGCTATTTTGTTGCCATTCGCTCGTTCTAATTATGTTGTGACTATTTCGCTTTTGGGCCACATTCTTATACACTCTTCTGCCGCTGCAAATCTTGAAGCTTTGCGCTGCGGGTTATTTGTGTGCCTTTTTGTTTTTGTCTATTGTTATGATAATTAAGGCCAGCGAGGTTATAGATTTAACTAGTTCAATAAGCATACAAACATATTTACATATGTGTGTGCCAACAACAACCAGACAAAGAAGAGAGTCGTGCCAGCGAAGCTTGACATAAAATCCAATTGGATCGCGAGCGAGTGCGCGCGCTTGTGTGTGTTTGTGTGTGGGACGCTAAGAATGAAAAACTGCACGCAGTCGCAGACGCGGTCGATGCTAGCTGCGCCGGCCTACCTGTTTCACCTGTATATTTGTCTGTGTTTGTACAAATTACAAATAATGCACATCATTGCAGTTTTCCACAGCGCTCAGTTCTTCGTGCCTGGGCTAAATTGTCTAGAATGTGCAATTATTTTGAAATTTGCTCACAAACTAATAGATTATTTTTGTTGTAGTTGTAGTTGATGGTGCTGCTGCTGCTGCGCTCGATTGCCGTTGCTTGGCCACTTCCTTCTTGATGCATTGTGTTGTGGTTGTTCTTTTTGTGGAATGTGGATTCTAACTTGGCCATTTAAGTACACACCGAGCAGTGCAACTGTGTGAGTGCAACAGGAACAACAAAAACAACAACAACAAATGCCACTTGTTACTGCCACTGCAACTGGCAACTAAAGCGCAGCGAATTTTCATGTGTGTGTGGAAAATTATGCAAATGCATGAGGTGTGTTGTTGCTGTCTGTTGCGCTACTTAAATCAATTATGAGCGCAAATTCCTCATTATTTAAATTAACTTTAAACACTCGATTCGCGCACTAACGGTAGTTTTCAAAACAGCCGTGGTGCTGTCGCTATCGCTGACAAAAGTCTCTATTTTTCGTTATTGTTGTTGTTCCATATCTTTTTTATAGCCCTTTCTCACACACACACACAAAAAGTTGACGGAGGCTCATTGTGTTTGTTGTTGGTGAGAAATTAACCAGTATATGTAAGTTTAAATATTAAACAACATATGCGAATGCGAAAATGCGAGAGCCGGAGGAGCTGTAAAAAACTCATAAGCCAGCAGCTTCAAACCACTCTTGAAGTTTGAAATAACGACAACGCTTGCGAAGCGCATTAATTAATGTTAGCGTTAGTCGCATCTGCTGCTATCTGCCTTTGGGCTTTGAACCGTAGTGAAAGTCTCTTCTTCTACATGTACACCCAAGAAAATATACCGAAAACGTACACACGAGTCATGCAGATCGAACAAAGCGCAAAGCGGCAATGAGTACACACCTGATGCTTAACGCGTTCCAGCACAAACTAAGTGGCTAAAGCATGGCTTACAACAACTTGGCTCAAAGACAAAGCTGGCAAGGTAGCAGAAGAAGAAGACGCGAGCGACCGGTAGTGTTAGTAAGTGGTTTAAGTGCGGCATAGTTGTAAAATATTGTTAACGTATGCTTATCTTTAAATTATAAGCATTTATTTAATTAATTTCTTTAAAAATTAAAACGTTTAAATTGCCTTCAATTTAAATAATAACGCCATCTTCTATCGATAACTATTTATGCAAGTATTTTGCAACACTTTTTTGCGCAGCCACGTGATGGGCTTTTACAACCAGCTGTTCAGCTGTGAATGATAACTTGTGGAGGTCGGCCAATAGACTCATACTGTTTCTTTGCGGAATGCTATCATTTGTTTATTTGGATTTGCGTTATTGTTTGGCGGGCAATAGTCTATTGTAATTTAAATCTATCCAATAGAGTAATTAAGTAATGGTTTAAAGAACATTAAATTAAACGCGAAGTCGTTTCAATTGATTGTTCCCGCGATCGCTTATTGTCATCAGCGTTGTATGCAAATATCAACGCATGCGCCTAATATGCAGGACGAAGGACGTTTGTCGTTGCCGCGGCTACATCGGAATAGAGAAATGTTTCGTTGTCGCACTGGCAGGAACATTGGAGCCATCATTCGTTCGGATACCGATTCAGTGCTCTGCGTAATTTCAACGCGATTTTATGTATCCGTCTCCATTCAGTTAGTTGACTTATTGTTTAGTTGCAAATCCCACGAATACCAATAAACGTGTCGTGTACGAGTGTGTGCGAGTCTATGTGTCGCGTGCTACATGTGTGTGGCGTAATGGCAGAAGTAAACTCAAAAGCGAAAAAAAACATTGTGAAACCATAGGAAAGTAAAATGTAAATGTTTATGCAAAAGTAAATTCCAACATTGCCATCGAGCGAATTTTTTTTAGGGGTGATTCTGGCTTCTTCTGCCCATGCCATGCCCCTGCCCCTGCCCTAGCCACTTGTGGTGGTGGCTCTCGTCCTCTGGCTCACACATTCCTATTTCTGGCAGTCGCGTGCAAAAAAAAACTAAGAAGAAGCAGAAACTTTGAGAATGCGAAGCGGCAATAAAGTAAAACAAGAAAGAACGTCTTTTTTCGGCGCATAGAAGTTCAAATACCCTTGCAAACCTAATGCAGATTTTCGAAATGTTTTTAAACTGAAGAACAGAAAGATGATTGATATAAAAGTTACACTTTGATTACATGGTATTTATTATTATGCAAAGAATATAGACTTATGAAGAAAAGATAGCTCACAGTTGAGGAAATAGTTTGTGTATAAACATATTTGGCTATTCCGATTGTGCAGCTAATACCGACCATCGAAGATGTCACGTTCTAAGCGTTACGCGTTTGGTGACAAAATAATAATGCCCTCTGCAAGGGCATTAAAAAGTCTGTGGCCAGGGTAGCTCTGAAAAATCAATATTGATAGTAAACTTTGTTGATGATGAGCCGCAAATAAATTCTCCATCAATCCAAAAAGTATATCAGTCAGGTGGTCATTGTCCTTACCAACAAATGCCGTTGGTCCCGGCCCCAAAAGTCTCCCCTGAGCACCAGGCGTGACTCATGCAGGACTCGCACCTCGACATTCGCTCTAAAGTGGAACACTGGCCGCCTGTTAATTTTATTGATTTCAGTTTAATGCCTATTTATTTATTTCTCTCATGTAGCAAATCACAACAATTAAAAAGTAATTACGAAACGGCAAACCAACAGTAACGGCAGAAACCCAATGAGCGTAAAGTGAATTGCAAAAAACAAATAATAAAATGAGAAAATGTAATTTGCATTGCAAATTGAACTTGTACTGCATTTAATATTCAAATTCAACATTGAAAACAACTAACTGTATACGCAGCCAGTATACACCCAAGTCGAGCTAAAGCAAAAACAATCTGATCAAAATGAAAACTCGGCTCGTTTCGTTGACATATCGCGGCAGTGCGTCCGTCGATCCGCGCTATTCGGCATCCATGTTGCCATGGACCATCAACGACATACGATCCACTGAGAGCTACACAAAGGTAAGTTAATCAATAATTATGTATGGCGCAAGCCCCCACAGTTTAAGATTAAGAAATAAACTTAATAAAATGAAGAAAAAAATATAAAAAAAATTGTGAGTATTTCGTAATTATGCGAATTGATTAGAAAGGACTGTTTTGCTTTCTTCAAAATTCTTTAAATGTTTTAAATCGTTTTTAATTTTGACTAACAGATATCGCAAAATTTGTGTTTGATTCAAGATTTTAATACCAATTTTTGTATTATATTTAAAAAAAATATTTATATATATATATATATTGTGCGCGTGAGATTTGTTCTGAAAATCAAAGAAGAAAATTGGACGACATACTATTGCTCTGCTTAGTTAGATATTAGACCAAGAAAGTCTGTTAATAGAGCTTTCTTTCTTTTATGAATATGAGTAACCGAAATTCTTTATTTAAAACATTTTTCTTCTCTTATAATCAAGTACTATATTTATTTATATATGCATATACAATCATAATCTTGATGCCGCAAACATTATTAGTTTGCAACAAATCACATATAGTTTGGAACAAAGCAAAACAAAAGAGACTTATATTTAATTGCATAAATCTACTTTTAGTTATCAAATACAGAAATGAGTCTGATAGAAAACTATTCTTATTTCCGGAAGCCCGCTTATTGCTATTGATATTTTAAATTAGATTAAAAATATATTTTTTCCTTGCAAAATCATATAGACATAATAGTAGCGTAAAAAATTAAAACAATCTTGGAATGGTATGAGCATACATAATTTTCTATTATACATTTTTTTTTTAAAGATTTTAGTCTTAGTTTAATTAGGTTGGTACTTGGCATTTATTTACGATACTTTTCAATCCTTAATAAAAGTATACAAAATTGTTAAAGATATATTTCAAATACAGTATCCATCTTTAAATCTATTTTGAGCGAGCATCCATTTTAAATCAAACGAAATGTATTTTTCTTGGTTCAGTCCAGTCCAGTTAAACATACTTTAGATAAGGATATACTATATTCTAATGGTCAAATTAAGAAAGAATGTATAAGAACTTTATCTCATTCCATAAATCTGCCCATGAGCTTTTGCTTATTGCAACTTTACAGCATTTCCATAACTTGGCATATTCCATCACAGGCGCCCGATTAAATCATCATCATGCCACACACTTGCCCGGCAGTCGGCGTTCTGTCATTTTGAATTATGTTGTCAGTCGGGCTGTCAACGCTCCTGGCATTGGCATGTTAATCCAATTGCAGCTGGTGATATCCATAACACGCTTTTATCTTTGCCCAAAACAATTAAAAGCAATTTGCAATTATTACGGCTCAATAAATCAATTAAACAACCCGCCAGGCAGGCTGGCATGCAGGCAGCTCAAAGTGGGCGCAAAGCGTACGAAATTTTATTAAACGATAATTACACTGATTAACTCTGTTGGCAACCGTTGGGACTGCCTAAAATTAGAACCACAATGCGGAAAGGTGAGTCCTAAATGAAAATCACAGTCACAGTACGAAACTCGTAGCTAATTAGGAGGACGACAACGTCATCCCGAAACGAACAAACAGCTGAAATAGGTATAAATGGACCTTATCCGAGGGTTACACGTTGAGTAGTGCGAATGTGAAGGTTCTTAATGGTGTCATCAAAAATTTGGTAGAGTTTATTTACTTTGATTTATTTTATTATCAGTATTATTAGTTATATGACTAATAATATTATTATTTTTGAAGAATCTGGCACTGCGACCTTCTGTCTATTGTCTATTGTGCTTTTACTCTGTCTTTGAGCTATAGCCCTTTCCTGAGTCCTACTGCTTGCAAAAATGCAAGGATTGTCACTGGCTTAAGAGTACTCAAACCTCAAATACTAAGACTGAGGGCCTAGTTCCTGATATACTCAGAGTAAAATTCTCATCCTACTACCAGCATGTGGTTTGGTCTCTTGTCGTCTTTAATGCAGGCTGTATGTGTCACACTTTTTAGCTTGTGTAGTTACTTGCGGCATCTGATGATCTATAAAGAGATTTTGTTTTGTTTAAATCCAGAAATTCAGCAGTTCTTCTGTTCTTTTACTGTGATTCGGGACCGGATATTAATTGCCTAATTGATTGGATCGCTTAGTCAGCTCATCTACCGAAGAGTGTTGTTCTCTTATTTTTCCTTTTCTCACTAACAAGTTCATTTCTCTAATAATCTTCTGAACTATCTCTTGATTTAGCAGGCATTACGAATTTTTGAAGATTTATTGATATAGATATATATGCACATTGGCGATTAAATGGGCAAAGGAAGATAAATATTAAGAAAATCTTTCTATCTAGATTATGATATAAATATATACAAATATAGATTCTGATAATGATACGGGATACTAAGTAGTTATGTGTCGATGCATAGCTGATGTATTGCTATGTATGAATTAATATGTATATATGTATTTATATATACCATTCGTTTTCGGTTTTAGTTATAAATATTACAATAGATTTAGAACAAATGTAAATTAAGCAGCATATAATTTTTGAAACAGATAAATTATATATATAGGCATACATTTTCATCAAATATTGGATGTTATGCAGCTTCGAAGATTCTATTCAGTCTGTGAACTTCTTGAACCCATCTCGAGTGCGCACATCTAGACCTGCCAGATTTATATATACACTCATATATACCAGGTGATAGGCTGGCGTGTTACGCATACGCCGCGTTGAGCACGTGCAGCGGCTAGTTGTCTACTGCGCTTCAATGCTAGCTCTGTCTTACTTCCACCCACTTTAAGTTGTATGTGCTATTTCAGTCGCACGTTGGTGTCCCATGGCTAATATTATTTGAAGCTTGAAATTAATTTGAGCAAAGCTTGCAATTAGGCGCACATCAGCCGCATGTGTGTGTGTGTGTGAATGTGGGCTCTACCTGTGCTTAGGTGTGTTAGCCAATGATGCTCCAGGGTTTTTGCTAGGGTCTGCCAAGTCGGTGACAGTGAAAGGCATTGCATAATTAAATTCCCTACAGTTGCCAACAAGTTGCGGGTCGAGGCTGAGTGAAAGTTGTATGAAAATCTTGGGATTCTACTCTTTGTGAATTGTCCTGCTCTCGTCCTGCTTGTCCATTTTGGTTTTGTGTTGGCCGCGCAGGTGGCTATGCGTTGCATTAAAAAGAATCCTTTTTACGAGCTGGCGCCACCACCGAGCAAATTGTGGGCGCTTTCGACCTATGATCCGGCAATTGTTGTAAGTTCCCATTGAATAGAAGAGCTGGCGGATATGCAGAGAGGGGCAGAGAAAGAGAGAGTAAAGAGTGGGCGTTGGGTTGCCGGAAATTATATTTATATAAAAAGGTAACTACTCTGGGAGCCGCTAACCAGAGTTCATATATTTGATACTTGATCCTGGCTTTGCAGTGTGGTCTCTTAAATGGAAAATTATGAGAATTAGTTTTTCCTTTTTTTTTTATTTTATTTTTGCACAGTCGGTTATAAGGAGAGTTTTAATAAACTACGTCTGGGTTATGCTTTCTTGCTCCAGTAACATTATATAACAACTGGGTTTAGTAATGAAATACTACACAGTCTTCCCATTACTTTATTAAAATATATCTTATTTCCTTTTTAAAGAATTTTTCTTTACTTTTTAACTTGGAGCTTTGTCTCTTCACTGGGCTAAATATTATTATCTTTAGATCATAGCATAAATGAAAATTTCTCAATTTATCCTTGGAATTCTTAACGTCTAGGCTTCTAGCAAGTTCATTTTACATCCTTTTATATATTGAAATTGTATTTTATAATTTATTTACACATTGGGTGCTTAATATTTCATCCTAAGAAGATAATATAACAATTTTTCAAGCTTAATTTGCAAATTTTTTTAAGCACTTTCGCATATAATGCCATAAAATTATGCATTCACAGCACACATACGCAACGCTCTCTGTCCCTCTCTCTCTTTCTTTTTGGCTTTCCCTCTTACTCTCTTTTTCTCTGTTGGCTTTCCCTCACTGTTGTGCACTTGGTAAGTCAGGCACTACAGACCCGGCCCAGACTATAATTTGATGCATATTTTCTTGTATAAATATTTACTAAAGCCTGCACTTTTGTTTATTATTTTCATATATGTTTGCATGTGGGCTGCCGCTGCCCTCCTCCCCACCCCCACCCTCCGCTTCAGTACATTGACATAAAACCAACACGCACCCAGAAGCCGAGGGAGAGATAGAGAAAAACAAATAGAGAAACTGAAGTGTTTGCCAGTGCTCTGGTTCGTGTTCATTTGCAGTGTGTGCGACAAATGCTGTGGCAGCTTAATGCTTTATTATGTTAAATAGCGCATGGAAATTATAACAAGCTGTCTTTTGGCTGCTGCTCAAGTGCGAAACGTGCCACGCCCATCCAACTCCCACGCCTCAACATCAAAGTCTTATGTCAACTTTTGCGCTGCTTCAACGGCCAAGCAAGCAGAGCTTTGTCTATGCGTGTGTGTTTTCGGAATTTTATAAATTTTTAACATGCATATTGTTCAGCAATTAGTGCAATGAAATATATAGCTTTGGTGAATAGCTAAGTTAGGCCAAGTCTTTAAATCAATGAAAAAGTTTTATCAACTAATATCAGTTTAATTACTTATAACTAAAGAAATGTAGCTTAAAATAAATGAGTCTTTAAACAAAAAGTATTTAAAACAAAGCTATTGTACATAACTTAAATTTTTTGTTTATTTGTTTTGTTTTTTCTAAGTACCTTTTGAGTTTTCGTAGTTAATATTTAGTTATATCATATATTATCTATAAGGATGGTGTATATGATGGCCTTTACCCAAACATAATTCTCAATTTTTTGCTAATATGCATACAACATATATTTATTAATAGAAAGCGTACTTTTTTTTTTTAGATATTAAACGTTTATTTTGTTGGATTTAATATGAACATTAAAATTGTTTTTATTCAACAGTTAAATGTACATTATTGTGTCATATGGTATTAATTTTAGCTAATATAATTGTTCCTCCCTTTAATATTTTATTAAGCTACAAGCCCATCAATTGTATTCACTTTTAATTTGAGTTCATTTAACTTTGTTATAAATTGACTAAAATCTAAATCAAGTCCAACAATAATTTGTAAAATCCCTACTTATTTTGCTGCCCAAAAACTCTGAACTAACGCCGCTCGTATCAATTGTCAGGTGGTTACTGCCTTCCTCCTATGCCCCAACCCTAAGCTTTGTGGCAGGTCTTCCATTGACGTCACGACGGCAGGCAGGAAGTTGATTTGAGCGAACTGCAAAAGAAAAATCAATAGATCGCTTGTTTCATTTGCCTGCAGAATATTTTTTTCTTTTTGTTTGGCGGATTTTTTGTTGCTGCTTTGGAAAAGTCACTCAAGTCCCGCTGCTAATCCGTTTCTGGCCGAGTCGAGTCACTTGAGCCGCAGCACCAGGCTTCCCATCCCTGTGCGTCGCAAATGGTTTCACACTTTACCGTCGTCAGCGGCTCTCCCAGTGGAGGACTCTCTGCTGGGGCTTACGCGGCGAATGCGTTACGTTTGCTTTGACTGGGCGCGAATGATGTCGCCCACTCGATTCCATTTGGCCGACGTTTTGAATTTGATGTTGTACACTTCTGCAGTCGCTAGACTACGGCATTTTTTATGTGTGGAACGGCGCGTCAGTTGCCACACTCACTTGACACGCTTCTGCTAGTCAGACCTGTGCCACATAGAAAATAATATTTTAAACTATGTGCAACGTTGTTCGAGTGAGCGTTGTAGCTGAGTACTTAGCACTCCGAGCATTTAGCTTATTGATAACAATTCAGGAGGTTGAAACATTTCTTGCTCGTTCTTTAGTAATTTTAAATGCTAAGCTCCAAACATAAATTGAAAATGTATGAAAATCCTAAACAAGGAATTGATTATGATTAAAGCTCTTATTACCTGTGACACAATTTTATTTCCACGTTCTTGACTTTTTTTCCCCTTTTTACCTGCCCCAACTTTAGCCGCATACAAAAGCTATACTGTGGCACACACTTCGTATGAGTTATAATTTTTCTTTTCTTTGTCAGCTGTCAGCATTTGACGTCTTGACCCCTTTTATACGGCTTCTGTTTCGTTTCTTCTGCCCATTCTCTGTGTCCTTTCATTCTTTGCAACTCTAATTGACGGCAAGTTAAGGAAAAGTTATGTTGTGTTCTCTTTCTCGGACTGCAAACATTTTATTTACTTTTGTATTTTATACAAAAATCTATTGTTGTCAAGCAAACACACACACATACACTTGCACATATTGAAATGCAGTTAGCGCCACGTGAAATCAGTCTCCGCGTATTGTTGTCCATTGTAGGGGTTATTTTTGTTGTTGCAGTTACTTGACATATTCATTACACAATTAAATTAGCGATGAGCACGTGAGAGAATACACTATGGAACAAATCATGTATTTCTCGCTTAGTTAGTTTGTTTGTTGTATTAATTGCCCACCACTAGATCAAATATTAGTTGATACACGTATTCATTATATTTCTCCCGTTTATATACAAACTAGTTGTTCATTGACTTGTAATTTCAATCCTGCTTAAACTGACGAAAGAATTACAAGCTTGTCTCCAATTAGAATCAGAACTCGTCATTTATAACTAAATCAATTTTATAAAGTCTTCCATTTGCAGTCCTAGTTTGGGCGTTGTGGATCGTGTCACGCGCCCATTTCCCATAAGGGTAATGTCTTTTCAAAGTATTATGCCAAAGTATTATGCCTTTTTAATTAGTTAATAATATACCTTAAATTGCAGCTCACTGTTGGATTCTTATTAAGTCACGATTGTGTTACGCGCTCATCTCCAATTAGAATCACGTATCGTCGTGCTGTCAACATCGCGTGTTATTGCTCACTGATTTACGCGTTTTAACTGTTTCTTCATTACATTTTCATGTGCCAGCTGACGTTCGTTGTTGTTATGCATGAACTGTGTTTAGTTGTTCTGGTTGTTGTTGTTGCTGCACAATAGATTGCCTACAATTTCCCATTACATTGCTGTTATTTTTGCTGCTGCTGCTGCTGCTGTTGTCGTCGGCAGCATTTTAGCCATATAATTTACATTAACTACTTCAGCTATTGCTGGCGCTGTTAAAGTCTTACTTTGTACTTTGTCAAATGGGGCCAAAAAGGTCAGAGTCTGGTTGTTGGCCATTGCTGACATAGCGGTTCTCATAAATATGGGGCAAAGCATCTGAAAATATTGCAATTAATGGCTAATATAACATAATTGAGCTTACGGCTAATCTTTGGCTGGCGGAGATATTAGTAACTTTCAATTACAGGTAGCTCGGAGGGGGTAATCGATTTGATTAAATCAATGTGATAAATATATTTTTAATTATTTTTTATTTTATAGTTTGCCTTGCCAAATAAAGTGCAGTACTCTGTTTGATTAAAGCTTGTTTACATTTCAACCCCCTCGATATGCTTCTGAAGCAGAATAGAGGCATACTCCCTTTTCTCTTTTCATTCGAACTACTAAATAATACAAGATTCGTAATCGGATATTGACGTAGCTGGTTCAATTACATCAAATTTAAGTAACTGACGACCGAATCTCCACTCTTAATGACATTCTTTACCTTGGAAATTTGCCTATTTAACCCAATGTAAAATGCTATCATATTGTTATACATTCTTTTATTTTAAGAACTATTTTGAGAACCTAACTCGGCTTCTCCTCCTGATCATCCTGATCATTTGCGCCGTGGATTGAGTGGTAAACCTTAATCCACTTAAAGTAACTAACTGCCTTACTCAACAAAAATTGGCAGAAAATAGGTCGCAGTTTTTAAACCTCAACAAATTGTCAATAAATAAAGTGTATATATTCCTAAACGGTTTCCCAAATCACTGCCATCTATTTTTTTCATGGGAACCATGCTCCCTTCTTTCCAATCTGCCGCTTTTAATCGTTTTGTTATAATGAAAAATCCCAAATCGCTTTGTTCGCTGATTGCATTACAAACAGAAATGGAACAATTTGTGATTCGGTCGACGCATAATTGGATTTGCTCAGTCAATGTCAAAGGCAAAGCGGAACGGCGTAAAATCAGTCGAGAGTCGAGAGTCGACAGTCAACAGTCGACACCACTTAATTCACCTGGCAACGACAGCGTCTCTCTCGGCGATTCTCACATCGGGTGAGTGTAGTGCATCAAGTGGCAATCGCAAATTAATTGAAAATTGGCAACGTGCAGGCGGACAAGTTGCCATTAAAAAATTAATTTCGAATGGTAAAGGTGACTCGAGGTAAGCCCCCAATGATTACCGTGTTGCCAGGCAGCCTCATTAGGCGCCCACACCGCGCAACACTCCCACTGGAATGTTATTAATTGCGAAGCTTTTTCTTTGATGCTGGAAAAGTTTTTCAGCTTTTCCTACTCCTTACTCTCCGAGCACAGTGTATTTAAGTAGTTCTCGAGCTAACGCCCACGTTGCTTACTAAACAGCAGGCGGCCGCAGTTTACGGATTTTAATTTAATTTTCTCCAAAACTTTTCATTTTCCATTTTCTGTGCTTGGTCGACATCCTTTCGATCGGATTCCTTTACAAGTTCTACAAGCTGCTCCCTGGTTCTGTTTTCTTTTTGGTTGTTTGGTTTTGTTTGTTTTTCTTCCTTCTGCCTCAATTAGTGAAAAAAAATGGATGTGTGTTCAAGTTCTTAATTGATTGACTATAAAATAAAGATATCTCTATATATAAAACTGTTCGTCCTGACTAACTGATTGGTGATAATTTTACTGTAGTTGCCTAATGCGGTGGAGGTGCACGGTATGTCAGGTTTTTTGGAAATTCCACCCGAAAGTGTGGAAAATCGCGAAAAACTCTTGTATGAAACCGATTGGCCTCAAACACATTTTCAAAGCCCTATATAAAAATTAAATGAACACGTGATCAGCGATTTTGGAGAATATCGATATAAGATCGAGATTTTGGAATGAATTATGTATGGTTTAATAAAAATAGATTAAAAAAAATGTCTTAATTTTCAAACAACTAAAATCGATATACTAATATATCTATAAATCAAATACTAATATTTCTAGACTTAGGAACTTAATTAATAAAAGCAAGTTTATTAGTTGTCACGTTAACTATTCAAGTTCTGGGCTATAAACATTTTAGTACCGTTTACCGTGTGGTGAAAATTTGAGTACTATGAAAAGCGTACTTTACGAAGAAAACGGTCCTACATAGAGGTATTAAGTTAGCAACGGCAACTCAATAGATGATATAGTTTATATGCAATCCAATAAATTATATAGTGCAATCTGAGAGTTATATGCAATCCAAAAAATTATATAGAGCAAACTGTGCATAAATATTGGCTTGAAAAAAGCTAGAAAAAATTAGAATTAATATAAGTATGAATTTAATACTTATCAGTTAGCTCAGATCAGAAAGTTTTCCAACTAAAACTTAAAAAAAAATGTTATGTATAGTTTCTATTGTTATGTTACCAATATTTCAGGATTTTTAATAAATGTTGCTAGTTGAACTTACGTCAGCTTTACCCAAAGCCGTGCTTACCTCTTTCTGGAACACACGCATACACACACAAACACCCACCACGTGGAGTAAACTAGCGTCTGCCTAACTAACTGAATATAAATTTCATTTGCTTTCCTTTAATTTTGTAGAATAAAACCTTTTGATGGCAAAATTCTAACCGACGACCCAAATGGGGCGACTGTTTTCTGCCAGCTACGGCCCTAGCCACAACATTGGCACACCCCTTCAACGAGCTCCCTCAGCACACCTGCCCCACCTACCCTATCCGTGCTACACATTGACACTCCCTAGATTCCCCTTTGGCGCATATAGTAAAAACTGAGCAGCAAAAAAAATAGAAATAATAATAAAGGGGGCCAACAACAAAAAACAAGCATTGAGAAATGGCGGCACATGTTGACGGTGAGGAGGACACCGGAAATGGAGCAGCCGCCATGTTTGCCATGTTGTCAAGCTGCTGTCAGCCTGCGCTTGCCTGTCTATCTGCCTGCCATCCAGTCTGTCTCTCTGTCTATCTGCGCCTCATCCTTTCCCTGTTACTCTCTGCCTCTAAGTCCACCCCTTTTGTACTTGTGCATGCAAGTAAACTGATTAAAAGAATGTAATACTGTTAATCTGCTTCGTCTAGTGGAAACGCTGAATGCAGCCAAAACCAAGGAATGAGAAGCACGAGTAGTTGCTGCTGCCTGTCTGTATGATATTTATACCCCGCACATTCGTTAAAACACAGCATATGCATTTAAATACTGAAAAGAAATTATGCCTATTGCTTGTCATTTGTTTTGTTGCGAATGAGGAGCATTCCACTGACTAAGCTATATTTAAAAGTATCTTACTTGTTTCCGTTGCAAAAGGCCCTACATTCATTCAGTTTGTTACATACCATGGCTTGACATTCGTTTTAGTTTGAACGAGGGACATTTCATTATATTTATTACATCTTTGACATATTTGCATTTGATAAATTTAGCTCTCATCCTACATCATTCTCAATCGGTCAGTGGATGCAGGCAATGAATGTTTGAGTTTTGAACAATGTGCATTCTACTTGCTTAGTTATAATTAAATAATCTGCAACCTAATTGGAATACATTTTACCTAGAGATGCTCAGCAAAAGTTATTCATATTGCTTGACATTTGTTTAATTTTAAATGTTTTGGCTTCGAATAAATATAAATTTTCGAATGCCTGAACAATTCATTACATTCATTTTGCGTAATACACTTATCTATGGAAAATTTAGGAATTTATTAAAATAGTTATTTAAGTTTTCTTCAGCAATGTTGTTCTGTCAGTGGAAGTGGCCAATTGAAGTTGTTTTAAGCAAAAAAATGTGGAATAAAAAATACATATGTATATTAAATCAAATTATGCTTAAGACCTAGTTGCATAGCGCTTTATTCGATTTATTTAGACTTAATTAGTATAATTAGTATAATTAAAATATATGCAAGAATTAGTTATAAACCATGATAACAAATTATTTCGTCTCATATGATGTATATGATGTAATTCTTAAGTGATTCCTTCATAGAAATCGATGTTACGTTCATTTGGCATGAAATATTTATTTATCATTCTATTAAACATTTGAATCAGACTATCTTAATTATATTTTAGCGCTGTATACTATT